TATTTTTACTGACCTAGTTTACGCCAGATGGATGTGTAGCCTTCTGAAGTGAGACGTGCCTTCTCGTTTACATTGCTCTACTTTGGATGGCAATCTTGTGCTGTAGTCAATCATAAATCTGATTCCCTGGGGTTTGGCATGCAACCACCCTCTAGGGACTTTATTTCACATGTTTTTGAAGACTGAAGACAGGTTAGTTTTCACATGTTTTTTTGTAAAAAAAAAAAAAAAAAACCACCATTAATTGTTCATCAGCTTTGTTACTTTGGGCTTTTAAGGTTTTTTTATAAGACAAAAGTGTAAAGAAACTAGTATTGATTAATCTGTGATGGTGTGACGTGACTTTTGCCTGATCTGCTGCTCTTGGGACTCACTTCTGCAGAGACCACAGCGAGGGGGGGGGGGAAACGTCCATGAGCTCAGAAACGTCCATGAGCACGTGCGCTGACATGCTTGCAATCTGCCTGTGGTGGCGTACCCGGAGAAAGAATTATCCAGTGCATTATAATGGCGCCTTTACAGCCTGGTCCAAAAGTCGGCTCCTGGCTCAACGCTACGTTACAGATGCGCGTCAATGCTGAGGGGAGTTTTTTTTCTGGACCAGCCTAGTTTATCTGCTGTGGACTTTTGGATGAACACGTTAAATGATCGGCATGTGTCAGGCTAATGGTGGCTAATGCATGAACACATGAATCAGCCTCGAGTGGGGCTGCTTGCTGTCATTTTGAAAAGGTACATGGTCATCACACATACATTCAAAGGGAGGACTTAGGCGTCACTATGTCCGCTAATATTTACAGTCTATGGCCCCGATCTGTCAGTCTGACCACATCGTGCCACCAGAGAGAGTGAGAGAGAGAAAGAGCGTGTGTGAGTGGAAGAGAGAAAGATCATGAAGAAATATGAAAAGGAACAAAGCAAGGTGACTAAAACTACAACTATGCTGTCTGCATAAGAAGAACCACGCGTAAAGTATCTATTTCAATGTCTTTTAGAGCTTGCCGTAAAGTTTTGTAGTTTTTGGAGGGATTAACCCACAAACGGCGGGTCAGCTTTGCCTCCAGACACGCCTAGTTAATGTGATTACTGCATGAGTGGATGTTGCCACAATATCTCCTTTAAGACTATAAATGGTGTCAGATTCAACATCCACAACCAAATGAAACAGCAACATTACGCATTATTGCTTATTGTCAATATTCAAAGTGTGAAAAAAAAAAAAACTCATGCCTTCTTCCACAACAGGGATTGAGTGCCCGATAAAGAGAGCATTATGCTTATTGTCTAAATATTCAAAGTGTGAATAAAAAAAATAAAAAAACTCATGCCTTCTTCCACTACAGGATGAGTGCCCCTAATGAATCTATGTAAAGCTTCCTTAATTACCACAAAATAAACAACAAATACTAATATCTTCATTGAGCAAAATGGAAGCCGCACTAACGTAACTTTTCCACAGTGATGGAGAGGTTGAACTAGAAAAAAAAGGTGGTGTAAGACTGAGTGAGAGCAACCATCGTGTAAGTTGCCCTCTGGAGTACACATGGGAAAAAATGATTAAAAGGAATATTCATAGCCCCTCTAGCTTCATAAGTGGACACTGTCAATGGAGGTGACTATGAAGTGTGCACTTGATTTAAAGGGTGTGAAAGCGGCACATTGGGTGGTTTCAGATAGAATGGAAGGTTTTTTTATCGACAAAATTTTGAATGGGAAAATCAACTGTGTAGGTAAACCTCAATGATTGATTTAACACACATGGCTTCTGTGAATTGCTTCCTAAATGACAAGCTTGGATGAGTCATATCCGCTTTGAGACAAAAGAGAAGAAAAAGCATGCAAGGCTTTCCCGATTTTAGATTTGACAGACATGCCGGTTGTGCTCTGCAGGCGCAAAGTATATGTATGTAGTGGCGAGAATAGGTGAGAATGGGAGATGGCGCAAAGGTGTGGGTGGGGGAAGGTAGTTTTTTTTTTTTAAAGTCCAGCAAGAAGTAGAAACCGAGATTGAGCCTCAAAAACCTCCCTGCAATTGTCGCCGTGGTGACAGGTTGAGACAATGGAGGGAGCAAGAACAAAACTGGGGAAAAAAAAGAAGAAATAATCCAAAAAGCCGGCACAACGCTGTTCTAGCTAAATAGTACTACGGCTGCTCTGGCACTCTTGCAGCCATGTGGGTGAGGCACCGGCTTTTTTCCCCAAACGCTGCCCCCTCCCCACCGTGGACCCCAAAATTTGTTCAACACCGGTGATAATATACTCACTCTACATGCTACACCCCCTTTAAGTTTGTCCCTATATCTCTATTTTTTTTATTTTTATTTTTTTATTTTTTATTATTTTTGGATAAAATTTCATGGTTGGGTGAATACAAAAAAAAAGAAATATCTAGAAACTATCTTCTGTCATTCTAGTACTGAACAATCTCCATATTTTGGATTGTAGTGCTGAAATGATGTAAATTAAACCATAGCCAAAGCCACCATTTTCACCCCAATCCTCAAATTCCACTATTCTACTTCCTTGTCTGCTCTCCCTTAGCCTCCAGCCCACACGTGAACCACAATAATAATGCAACTAATAGGGATTTTTCCATGTAAACCAGTATAATGCAACTTAATAGGGATTTTTCCATGTAAACCAGTATAATGCAACTTAATAGGGTTTTTTCATGTAAACCAGTATAATGCAACTTAATAGGGTTTTTTTCATGTAAACCAGTATAATGCAACTTAATGGGGATTTTTCCATGTAAACCAGTATAATGCAACTTAATAGGGGTTTTTACATGTAAACCAGTATAATGCAACTTAATAGGGTTTTTTCCATGTAAACCAGTATAATGCAACTTAATAGGGATTTTTCCATGTAAACCTGTACAATGCAACTTAATAGGGATTTTTCCATGGGTAAACCAGTATAATGCAACTTAATAGGGTTTTTTTCATGTAAACCAGTATAATGCAACTTAATGGGGATTTTTCCATGTAAACCAGTATAATGCAACTTAATAGGGTTTTTTTCATGTAAACTAGTATAATGCAACTTAATAGGGTTTTTTTTCATGTAAACCAGTATAATGCAACTTAATGGGGATTTTTCCATGTAAACCAGTATAATGCAACTTAATAGGGTTTTTTTTTACATGTAAACCAGTATAATGGAACTTAATAGGGTTTTTTCCATGTAAACCAGTATAATGCAACTTAATAGGGATTTTTCCATGTAAACCAGTACAATGCAACTTAATAGGGATTTTTCCATGTAAACCAGTATAATGCAACTTAATAGGGTTTCTTTCATGTAAACCAGTATAATGCAACTTAATGGGGATTTTTCCATGTAAACCAGTATTATGCAACTTAATAGGGATTTTTCCATGTAAACCAGTATAATGCAACTTAATAGGGTTTTTTTCATGTAAACCAGTATAATGCAACTTAATAGGGTTTTTACATGTAAACCAGTATAATGGAACTTTATAGGGGTTTTTACATGTAAACCAGTATAATGGAACTTAATAGGGGTTTTTACATGTAAACCAGTATAATGCAACTTAATAAGGATTTTTACATGTAAACCACTATAATGTAACCTAATAGGGGTTTTTACATGTAAACCAGTATAAAGCAACTTAATAGGGATTTGTACATGTAAACCAGTATAATGCAACCTAATAGGGATTTTTCCATGTAAACCAGTATAATGCAACTTAATAGAGATTTTTCCATGTAAACCAGTATAATGCAACTTAATAGGGATTTTTCCATGTAAACCAGTATAATGCAACCTATTACGGATTTTTCCATGTAAACCAGTATAATGCAACCTAATAGGTTGCATTATACCACCAGACCAAGACCCAAACGAAGACTCAGACCACCACCAGATAATGACCACAGACCAGGTTTCCTTAGTTACAGGAACCAAATTGTTTCAGCGGTGAGGGGATTTTTCAGTTTCAAGGACACTTTCAATACATTCAGTAGTTTCAAGGATTTCAACTGTTTAAGAATTTAACCAGTTTCAAGGATATCAGGAGGTTCAAGGATTTCAGGAGTTTCCACACTTTCAACAGTTTCCAGGTTTAAAAAAGTTTCAAGGATTTCAGGAGTTTCAATGTTTCAACAGTTTCAAGGATTTCAGGAGTTTAAAGGTTTCAACAATTTCAAGGACTTCAGGAGTTTCAAATATCTATCAAGTATTTTAACAGTTTCAAGGCCTTTTAAAGGATTTCAAGGATTTTTTTTAGCAGATTTCCACATTAGATCTGTTCCGCAGTCAATCGCAATGGCTTCAGCCATTGCAAGTTTCTAGTTATTATTATTATTATTATGTTGCAAACAGACAGACAAACCCTGATGAAAATATTGCCTTCTTAGCACTTGTAGTTTTATGTTTTAGGGACTAGGTCTGCGAATTAGTTGTTAGCTATATGGCCTATGAACATGGCATTGGTTATTTGTAGCAATGCTTCTTGTTCTGTTCCTGTCAAATGAACATATAATAATAATAATAATAATAATAATAATAATAATAATAATAATAATAACCATCAAAATAGACAAAAATCCATCATATAAGAAGTGCTTGTGTATTTCCATCAAATATGAGCCCTTGTATGGTTGTGTATTCGCTGTCTATAGTAGCTACAACTGCCTCTGATGCGGTGACATGAGAAAATGAGGTGTCATGTTTAATGGCTGACATACAAACAGCAATCCCAAACCCTCAAACCCCCTGTCTTTCTCCACACACACACACACGCTCACCTCCCTCCCGCTGTGGTTGCTCACAGACTTAAATGAGACTCGGCACATATCAAAGCACCAATTACTGTCCTTACGACGTGTGTGAGGCGCTGTAATTTGTCAGCAAACACAGAGCGCCGTGTCACGTTGGGTTATTGCCGCTTAACTTGTGTTATTTGCGCATTTTGTGGCCGCTCACTCACAAACACTCACACGTTCTCAAGCCTTTGTTATGACTCTTCTTTCCAGATCCTCACATCAAGGTGTGCGGGAAAAGGGACAACGTGAGAGACGCAAAAGAACGAATCATGTCTGTTCTGGACTCAAAGGTACAGTGCTTTTGTATTTCTAATAAATATAATATTCAATTCAATTCCAGTTATTTTTGTATAGACCTTATCTTGGAGGAATCAAACACAAGAAATACAATGATAAAAAACACATAGAGCCATTGGTCCATAAGTAAGAAAGTAGAGTTTATTTATATAGCTTTTCCCAACTAAAAACATATAGAGATAAATAGTACAAATACAAGTAAGTTCCAAAAAGAAATTTACAGAATAGTTGTGAACACACTTATGTACAGTGAGTTGAGAAAGCCTGCTTAAACAAATAGGGCTTTTGATTAAGTACATAAATGAATGTCCTGGATTATCACCACTGTCCTTGGACCCTCCTGGATCGGCATGGAAAAACTTGATATAGTCAGTATTTAGCAGGAGTATATAGTATACAGTATTCAGTATATACTGTAGTGCTAGAGCAGGAGTGCTAGTCTGAGCCTCCCGCTGCCACAGTGACAGATCATCGCAGCCTGCAGAGCGTATGGATTGGCAGTAGTCTTGGGAGGCATTCACATCAAGGGCTCTGTCATGAAGGGTGCATATGAAGCGTTCCCATAGCAACACAGAATCACATAGCATGATGGGAGCGCGGCAGCACCCCCTTGGGGCAGGCAGTCATTTTTGCATTCATTCCCAGAACACATTTGGAAGACATTATAGCAGAGCATTTCAATAGATTTTCTTGCGATTTTTTACGAGTTGTGGGATAGTGAGGGAAATGGTTTCTGTCTTTAAAGTACATTGTGATTTTGTTTTAGAGGAGAAAGAGAGCTCTCACCATAGAGCTGAAATATAACAGATGAAATTAGTTCAAAGCAGAATATCAATAACAACTTAATGAAAAACTATGGTTCTAACGAGAAACTAAAATACACCCATATGACCCTCAAAACACAGGGTCATATGGGTCACATTAATACATATTTTGTTATTATGTTTTTGGTCGACTAAAGTAATGTTCTTTCGATGGATTAATATCAATTCAAATAAATACCAAGATATTCAGCAAATTTGCTCAATACCTTTGGCATGTTTGCTGTTTGAGTAAAATAAAAACTCAAGCATCACCTGCATGGACTGGTTGTAAAATTGCACTAAAATTTGCATTATTTTCAAATATGAGCCAATGGAATTTGAAGAAAATATTCTTAATTTGTGAAACACACACACATTACTCAGTGCGAGGAAAAAACACAACATACAAACAATATGGAAGGGTTAGATAAAGCATAGATAAAACCTCTTTTACTCATATAACACAACATTAACACACGCTCACATTCACACAAGCATGCTCCGGGACAAGACACCGGCCCAAACACTCTCTGACCCTACACCCACCTCTATGCTGGGTAAACAGGATGTGATTGAAAAGCCACATATGTATCTAGTCTCTGTATGCAGTCTGTTCAGCATTGGTCGGCTGCAGGGCCATTGGTCTCCTCCTCACTCTGGCCTGTCCTCTTGCCCCTTCAGAGTAACAGGGTGACTCTGAAGATGGACGTGTCGCACACTGAACACTCCCACGTCATCGGGAAAGGAGGCAACAACATCAAGAGAGTGATGGAGGAGACGGGCTGTCATATCCACTTCCCCGACTCCAACCGCAACAACCAGGCGGAGAAAAGCAATCAGGTACGACACCGAATAATGAGAGCGCTGTCTACACGTTTGTAAACTCACACTTTTCACACACGTCGTATAAAAAAAAGTTCGATATGATGTCATTATACAGTGCATTTTGGCTGCACTAACTGAGCCATTAAGCCGAGATTGCTGGCTAAAAACAAGTCTTTCTCCAGAGAGTGGAAGCCATAGAGATTTTAAAAACCCCTTGTGATTTGGGATTAATTTATCTAAAACGTCTCATGAAAAGCAGCACAATTTAAGCGTTATCTTTGTGGAAAGCCTTTGTAAAGTAGATGGCTGGGCTCACTGTGAGGACAAAGCCTTTTAGTTTTGTATCATTGGGGAATATGGGGAATACAAAGAGTGTTATCTGGATTGTAAATTATAGATTGAACTAGTGCTGGGTCTTTAAAAATGGAATCGCATATTTAAAAAAGGAAAGGTATCTAAAAGGGTGAAACATGAAGAAAAATACATATCCGCACAGCTACTGTATGTTGTTCCCCGTGTGTATTTTATGTACAGACCATGAGTGCATGCAAAAAGGTGGGACAAAATCAGACAATGTGATTTTCTGTCTCTTATAGTTGAGGTTTACCTATGCGGAAAAGTACAGGCCTCCCTCATCTCTTTTGCCCCACTGTACATTTTGAATCCCAGGTAGAGCTTGAAAGGTCAACAATAGGGTGTCAACAATAGGGGCCTGATGTTTGTCACAGTCACATCTGTGGAGGAGGTGAGGGACAGGAAGGTGTTAGCCAAACTCACCTCCATCATGGACAACACTGAGGAGCTCTTTCAGTGCAAGGAGAAGCGCTACTGCAGGGCCTTAATCCCCACTGCTGTCAGACTGTTCAATAAGTCACTTTTATACTGCTATAGTCACTTTTTAATTATAGCTCTATTTTTAGTTGTGCATAAAATACCTATATTGCACATTTCCTGTTGTTTTGCACACCCTGAGTGATCCTGTTAAGGCCAAATGTGACATGTACATTTCTCCACTGTGAGATCAATAAAGTTGATCTTATCTTCTGCTCGACGCCCCTCTCTTGTTGCGGTGTGGAGGCTGGTGCTGCTGTCTGACCACAATCGTGTCCAAACTACAGTTCATTTCCATTCCGGTCATTCACATTTTGTGCTGTGCTTATGCCTCATAATAGGTTTTTTCCCCTGTGGCCCTTAGAGGTGCAACGGTTCATCACTGATCCGTGATCCGTTCGGTTCAACGTCTTCGGTTCGGTACAGACGTGATCCGCGGTTTGATTTATGAAAAAAAAGTTGTGCGCACGTTGTTCAGTCCACACACAGCGCGGTCATTGCGAGCGGAGGAACGGAGATGCTTGAAAGCCCTGCGTCATTTAAATCCCCCGTATGAGAGCATTTTGGCTTCACTGTAACTACACTGATAATTAATATTTGACAAAACTGTCACGATGTGTAAGCACTGTGGCACAAGAAAGACATGAGTTAAAAAAGCGTCTCAACGACCGCTTATTGTCGCGGCATTTAAGCAGCTCCTTTACGCACAGTCAGACCGGGCTAGAGTCAACTCTCCCGCGCATCCTCAGCTGCGCTCACGACTGACGCTTGGACGTCCCGCGGAACCTATAATAGATCCATGAGCGGAACCGCTCACTTCATCACCGCAGATTGGGAGATGAAAAGTCTGGCGCTGCAGACACGCCCCCTCTACGACAGTCACACAGTCACACAGCGCAGGTACTGACACAAGCAGCGGAGGAATGGAAGACAAAGGCCCAGTACTAATATCCCAGTCACAACTGATAATGCCAAAAATTAAATAAATGCAGTGAATGAGGCTGGGCCCAGAATGGAGCGCCTCCTCGGGAGAATCAGGAAGGTGGTGTAATATATGAGGGTAAATATCCTCATAAAGTGCCTTCTTATGTTGCACTTTGTGTTGTTATTCATTAATTATGTTAAATAGACATAATTGGATGGATGGAATATGCCATCCATCTATCCATCCATTTACTTCCCCTTAATTCATTTCTAGGTCAGGGGGGGTCTACATGAGCTGTGTTTATTAAAAAGACAAAACTTTTTTTTTGAAAAATGAACCGAAAAATGAACCGAACCGTGGCCTCTGAACCGAGGTACGAACCGAACCGTGATTTTTTCAAACCGTTGCACCCCTAGTGGCCCTGTGTTTTTGGACACATGTTGAAATGGCGTGTTGACCTGGGACGACAGTGGGAAAGGTTGGAACATTTTTCAGACCTGTTTCGGCTTTTCACCACAGGGAAGACAAGAACGTGTCAAAATAAAAGGGTCGAAACAAATCAGTCACAGCGCTGTGCACCCAGGACCCCACAGAAGTGCATTAGAATGGACTACAGCGAAGCCGCATGCAGCTTTATAAACATTTCCAAACATGTTTTACAAGGAAAAAGCGAAAGTGCAGCGAATGCCAAAAACACAACAGTGATTGTGAGAGCTTCACTCTTACTCGGCTTGTTACTCCGTCATTATCAAAGTACTATCCTTTGTGTGACATGTGTGTAGTTGTTACGGATCAGGTTTTGTTTTTCTCCTTACCTCCACCTGCTCAGATCCTCCCATCAGCATCTGATGTCCCACTTTACTATAGACCTTTTTCTTTATTGTGCTTAGGATAAGGTTCTTGTTTGCACATTTACATTTTTGTAGAAAGTTATTGAGCCGTTGTCATAGACACTTCAACCTGTGGCTCATAACAGGAGGACTTTGGTTGACCTAACCTGACCCACATGTAAGCAATAAACTAGATTTTTTTTGTTTAGTTTTTTTTTTTGTGTTGCCAATGAACACACCACGACAAAAAGTCCAGGTCACCAGGCAGGTTAAACATTCAGTTGTTTTGGCACACCAGCCCGTGTCGCTCATAGGGTAAGGAAAAGAAAGCCTGAAGTTTTGTGCAGTGGAAATTAGGCTATCCAAAAGATGTATTGAGATACAAATGTCCTTTCATAGTATCGCCTATCTCACTTATTTCACACAGACCAATTTCAATTCACAAATGAAGGCAAGGCAAGTTTATTTGTATAGCACAGTTTACACACAAGGCAACTCAAATTGCTCAACAAAACAAGATACAAATAATCACTGTACATTGCTTTTTAACCTTGCATTTTCAGGAAGACTTCCAGATTTAAGCTGCATAAATCTGAAAGACTGCCTCCCCATCTTTAGTTGTGACTCTGAGCACCAGCAGGAGGCCGGTCCCTGTGCTCCTCAGAGTCCGAGTTGTTTCATGAAGCACACAAATGATCAAAAGAATGTTGTTACTTATACTAAAAGTGAGACCCATTTCAAACCCATGCTCCTAGTGACTTCCAGCCTCCTCATCAACACTGCAGTTCCACTCGTGTGCTTCTGTGACTGACTCGTCATGTGCAGCAGGCAGGATGCTGAGAGCGCCTGGCTGTTTTGATTGGCTGAGTCTTGATGTTTTAGCTGGCCTCGCTATAAGAGCGCAGGATGGTGCTGTAATTACCATCAAGGTGTAGCGTGAGCAGTTGAGTTAGCAGGCGGCAGGCCACATCATCAGTCATCGTCTGTGCCAGCTGCTCCTCGCTGCACCTGAGAAAGAAACGCACTGACAAGCTGCTTCAAAATGACTCATTCCATAATATATTTGAATTCATTACTTAGCCAGCCACATGCCACAGCCACTTTTAATGACCTGTTTTTTCCATGTAATATTTCACATGTTTGAATATTTGAACCTAAAACACCACTTTGATCATTGATGAACTACAGTTTTGTATTGAAAAGGGTTTAGGTTTCATTATTTGAGATCTGCGATGTGTCTTCTGTGTCATTCCCTCGGTTGAACTTGGAGAACATTTTGAACATTTTGCAATTTCCATGTTTCAGTTGACTCTGGAACCTGGGTAATTGATATATTTTGGATTTCCCCGCCGTGAAATAACCAGGATCTGGTGTTGTGTCCAGGTGTCCATCGCAGGTCAGCCAGGAGGAGTGGAGGCAGCGCGGGTAAAAATAAGGGTATGTACTTTTTATCCTGTTTTCAGCAACACTCCACCCAGGACACGTCCTTTAGATCAGACATGTCAAACTCAGGCTCATGGGCCAAATCCGGTCCGCAAAACCATTTTTTGTGGCCCCTATTTTTTTTTTAAATTTTTCATCATATATTTTTATATGTTTTCTGGTTTATACAGGATTTAGTTGTTTGACATAAATACTTATATATACATCTTCCTCTTCAACCCTATAGAGACCTGAAATGGAGTGGGTCTCTACATACACATACATTCACTTCAGCTGCCTGGTCAGTAACACAACTATTTCAACAATTATAAATTATGGTATATTGTGTCAGATCATTTGAGGTGGCTCGGACATCTGTTTTGGATGCCTCCTGTTATTCTTAAATACAACCAGGTATTATTTTCAATGATTATTATTACTGTAACTTGAAGCATTGATAGCAATGGGCTGCCAATGTATATTATACATGATCTATTTTGTCAGGAAAACAACCAAATGTAATTTATTCTAAAATGTTAACCCAACACATAATTAGAAGTTAAATAGTCAAATATAGAGCAATGAACAAATGTCATTTTTGGTCCAGCTTTGGTTCAATTTAAACATTAAACACATAGTAGCAAAACTCATGTCACATAAAAGTCACGTCAAAATAATGTCATGATTTTAAAAACAAAGCAATTATAAGAAAAGGAAATCCCTTCTATTCTTTCGGCCCTCGACCAGATCCTATTTTTTTATTCGGCCCCTGACCAAAATGAGTTTCACACCTCTGCTTTAGATATTATTATTATCATTACACAGACTCTTATGATAATACCTAACTTTGAAATCACAAATACAATCATTTAAAACTACAGTCCTTTGCCCTCAAACCAAAGGTTTGGTTCTGTCACTTGTTTTCTCATGCATGTATTTTTTGGCCCCTGTCATATCTCTATATCATATTTTTTACACAAAAAAGTGAGAAAGAGAGGACCACCCTCACTCTCTCAGCCCAAAGAGTCAAATACTGACTCTCAAGGCTCTTTCTTACATGTATGCAAAAAGAAAACAGATGAAGACAGTATGTAGTGGTCTGATCTGTAACAAAATAATACTTTTATAAGACTTTCTTTTGGGAGCGACAAGTACAGGTCGAGATATTGATGTCAAACAGAAGTTAGGTACACCAGCTTTAAAGTCGATATTGAACCCTGAATGTATTGTTGCAGGTATCTCTTTGAATTTGGATTTGTTCTTTAAACCAAGAAGAATTCACATAAAAGCTCAAAAGGGAAGAACCTGGAAACTTGGATTTAAACTGCTCCAAGTTTGACTTTATATGCGTCACTGAAGCGACAGCCAAAGTTTTTGTCCAAAACTTCATTTGCAGAAGTCATGACTAAATACTTTTCTTGCAAGAGTCTGAGTGTCGTAAACAAGTATAGAGTTAATACAATTATTGAAATAGAAAATGTGTACACTTTTTAATCTCACATGAACAATATACTGTATCTATATCAATAGAGATAGAATTTTGTTCAATGACATGTTTTGTGCAGCTGCATTTTAAACACCAAAAGCTTAGGTCATTCAGAAGTCCGTATCAAGACCGGATCCAAACTTTGTCCATGTCTAAACTGTGATATTACTTGTAAGTGTAAACAAACTCAGACCTGCAGACAGCCAGCTCGCTGACCTCACTCTTACCTCACGAGGGCAGCTCAAGGGGCCGATTATTTTGCATTCAGGCAAAGTCCGGCACTTCCTCTGTGCCGCTGGCTCCATTCCTGACGGACTCCGACCACTTCCCCTCCAAACACTGTAAAAGTCAGCTTCGACCTCGCTCTCGTTTTTGGCAGCTCCGTGTTCGAACCGCTTCATATTTTGAGTTCTGGAGTTGCCGTCGGACTGGAAGGTTGACCCATGGCCACTTACTCGAAAAAACTGACCAAAACTAACAATGCTGGGATGAGTGAAGGAGTGAGGAGTGCGATGAAGTGTTTAGTGGGATGTGTTGGCAGAGTGTGGGTGCGCTTAGGGCTTTTTGTATCTCAGGTCATCCACGACTTGGAGTTGCTGTATTGAATGGTCTTACTTGTTTTTTCATTCTAAGAAGACATTGAGAAGCTGTTATTTCTTCCAAAGAACACAGTGAGGGGATTAGAAGGGTGGATCAAAGACATGTTTCCTTGACTTTATAATATACAGCCCGACATTGATACATATCAAACATCCCACTTAACCTCTGCTCGTATGAAAGGGACAGCACAACCTCCGCAGGGTCCAGAGCCAGGTACTCAAACATTCCAGTTTTTAACTGATTTTATCACTGCACATTTCCTCCACCTCTGTTACACTTCTCAGTGCAAACTTGTATTATAATTTATTAAAACAGTCCCTTTTGGCATCATACCTAAATGTGTGTTTGTCTCTATGGGTTTTAACTACCCTGGTATATTGTGTTTTCTAATGTAGGCATCCATACATATGATCTGGACTAAAGTACATACAATTGAGATTAAGAGATTCTTTATTCATCCCACAGTGGAGAATTTTCAGTGTTGCATCACAAGATACAGAGCAGTAGGAATGAGGAGCACACAACACAAACTATAGAATAAAAAAATAGAATAAAAATGTCTTTCGCTTTATAAGTCCACAGAGAATAAAAAGTAAGTGAGTCTGTTCCCGCAGCAGTAGAAAGAGCCTCTTTGCAGGTAGGCTGTAGTTTCCTCTTATCGGTCTCAGCTCCTGCAGTTCACAGGCCACAGTGCTCTGAGGTGGGTGGTCTCACAACCACAGCCTTCTGGACCAGAAGTGGTTTGTTTGTGCCTTTCCCAGAACAATGCTGCGTCTGGAGCACTGGACTCTATATCATGCACATCGCTCACAGGCCACGGCACATTTCTGTTTGTGGTTGAACTGATCAAACGTCCAGGAGCCGTTGACAGACAGGTGACAGACAGCTCCCACTGTTGCCATGTTTGATTTCTCTGTAAAGTTGGGATAATGGATGCATTTTCACCTGCCGCAGAGCACACGTGAGACTCACATGTGTCAGCCTGAAAAGCTGAGATCAGCGGTCCCTTAAATCAGTCCATTCTTCATTGAGAGCGGCTCCTGCTGCTCTGCTTGTGCTCCGCCGTGTTTCCCTCAACACTGACCTACATTTCTGAAGCCCTCAGAGAGCCCGTGCTGAAACGTGATATAATTGTAAGGCCAAGCACATATGGGACGGATCAAGGGTGCATTTCTTTGGTCACAGAAATTCATGCTGCTTGCCCTTCACTGGCAGCCAAACCGGAGTGGCACTCTGCCCAAGATCCAGTGTTTGGATAACACACTCGGCATATGTGCGTGTGTGAATGGGTGTGTTCCTTGTTCCTGCAGCATTTCTCTGCTGCGTTCGTCTGACTGACTACACTTTAGCTCAGGCCCTTTGTCTAAAAGTGGTGTTTACTATGGCAGTCCCAGCTGCTTCAAGTACATGGCATGCAGCATCTGTATTTATATGAACATGTCATTTAGGGAAAAAAGTATTATTTGTAGTGCAATTCAATTTGAATTACTTTTAGGATTTATTCATCTGTGATTTGACATTTTCATAAACTCACACGTTATCCGCAGTTTAAATGTAAAACGTGGTAAAACATCTGAATGTAAGATGTTGAATTCATACGTAAGTGAAGATTGTGCATGTCACATTGGATTGCATCTACCAAACCCTTTCTCCATCTCTGCAGAACATTTATCACAGCGTGCATCGGGTGAACATTGCCTCGTCTTGTATTGATCAAACTCAGCTGATTTATTTGAACTGGCAGTCTGCTTTTTGCCACACTAAACGGAAAAAACCCCTGTTATGTCTGAACGTTGATGCATATACTGTAGATTTGGTTTCCCACTTCTTTGCTTTTACTCCATGTCCAGATGGAACCAATCACACGCACGGCATAAAGGTGATAAAAGCTACTGTGCCGTGTGCGCCGGCCTTCTCCTTCGCAGACAGTAATTGGTACGCTTCACTTTTTGCATGGCACCGCTGACAGCCTAATGATAAGCTTTCCAACTTCATGCCAATGCAGTTCTCTTTTTTTTTTGGACTGAAATCGAAAATATTTGTTAAAGTCAGTGTCACCACCGGGTTGTTTTGCTCGTGACTGACTTTGCACATCCACTGATGTGTCCTTTTTTGTGTTTTTGCTTCACAGGAGCTGCTTCCGCTGGTCTTGTCATTTGAGCTTCCAGCCATCATGCAAGCGGACCCCAGCTCGCCCACTGTCCAGCACATCTCACAAACCTACAACCTCACGGTGTCCTTCAAACCCCCCACTCGCCTCTACAGAGCCACCGGAGTGGTGCGTGGATCACAGAACAACTCCCATGCAGTCAAGGTATATGCAGATACAGTATGTAAACGAGAGGATATGATTATGAACACAAAGTAGGAGCATCCAGGGTCAATCTGGAGTGAGACAAATCAAAGGGTGTGATTTGTTGGTGTTAAAATGGCCACTTTATTGAGGTGTATGGGACTATTTATTCCATGTTTTGATCAATTGCACTATTATTTTAAAACACTAAATTTTCATGCAACTTTTTTCTAATCCATTTTATTTAAACACATGTGTGGGGCTATATTATTTGTTGTATATATATAAAACAACATTGACCCAAGACCAACTAAATTACTTCTAACAAACTGGCTACCTTCTCATTCTGATCTCTGATTGGATTAATTTACTTGAAAATTTGAACGAAAAAATAGAACATTGCTATGTAATATCAGGAAGTCACAGATCCGGAAATTGCTCTCGAGGCAAAGATGTAACTTAGAAGGAAAATATTACATACTGTCCCTTTAAAAGCTTTAACTGTATAGCATACTGTAATGACAGGTAACACTACATGTGGCACAAACTAATACTTCTCCGGGGCTATACCAACACCGTGTAGTTATGTGAGAGGAAAAGCGTCTGTCCCTGACCCTTCCCTGCACCGCCCTCCTCCCCACACTGGCCACCTGTCAGGAAGAGATTCACCAGCGCTCTCAGCATTTCACATGTTTTAAACTGTAAATCTGTCTCATTTCAACAGGACTACTTCTCATCACTGGCACCATGACTGCTATACTTTTTGTGATTGCTAATCCTTTCCCAAGTCTTTTCACTTTCTCTCTTCTCGTGTTGACCTTAAACTGGTTTGCTGCTTGAGAGCAGTAATCATCGGACTGCTTATACACATGTCTAAGCAGTGGCATTTGGCTGCACTGTGGTTTGGGAAACACAGCCCAAAAATCTCCTCATTCTCTCTTCCAGTTAATCCCACTGCAGCACAAAGCTTTGTTAGGTTTACCAGACGCTATATCTGTGTACATTTCACATGCTTTCATTCACGCATCTGCTTTTCTGTGGCCAACACAAGCTTGGAGCAGACAGTTTGGTTGTGAATGTGAGGTGGGTCTGAAGGGTCAGTCGTGATCAGGGTTACTGGAATATTTGTGCATTTCTGATGTGAACACCAAAACTGCTGCAGAGGACTGACCACAGACTGCTCCTCCGTCTCAAACTGGTTCCAGAAAGGGCCCGTGTGGCTGTAGGTTTTAAATCCAATCTAGTAGGAGCACAGTAGATTCCAAGGGCCGGTTCGACACTCCTGGTATGAAGCCTCACTTGTACGGCCAAGTAAGAAGGAAGACATAGGAAGTCACTGCGGGGCCTCTTTTATAAAACATCACTAAACCTTCTAGTTCTTAAACCAGGCAGACTTTCTCCTATTTCTACATCAAGTTTTCTTATGATAAATACACTAGGTATGCATAAGCCAGACCCCGTCAGATCTCTGAAGCTGTGCAGGGCAGGGCCTGGTTAGTACTGTGATGGGAGACCTCTGGGAACACCATGTGCCACAGTGGGGAAGCTGCCGCTGTAAAGTGCCAAACTGCTGTTGTGTCCTTAGGCAAGACACTTCACCCACATTTGGTGTGGTGTGTGCATGAATGGTTAGTAGTGGTCGAAGGGGCTGATGGGACATACTGGTTGCCTCGCTTCTAGCTGTGGCTCCAGTAGTAGTTAATCACCGCTGTGTATGGAGTGAAAGGATAATGACATGCGACGCGTCTATGAGTGTCCTGGAAGCGCTATATAAAACCGATTATTATGATTGTGGAATGGAAAACCTACCTGCTTACAGTTCTAGTATTGAAATAATGTGAGATGAACAGCAGCCACATGTGGCCACATGAGTGCAGCAGACGGCTCCATCAGGCCCTGTCACTGCCTGCTGCTCATTAGCCTGTCACTGTTGTTTCAGAGAGGCACCGCTCTGCTGCTGGAGCATCTGGCCGGCAGTCTGGCCAACACCATCTCAGTCACCACCCACCTGGACATCGCCCCCCAGCACCACCTCTTCATGAAGGGACGCAACGGCAGCAACATCAAGCACATCACCCAGAGGACCGGGGCTCAGATCCACTTCCCGGACCCCAACAGCCCCCAGAAGAAGTCCACCGTCTACATCCAGGGCACCATCGAGTCTGTGTGCCTGGCACGCCAGTACCTCATGGTGCGTATGTGTGTTTACAAAGGGCCGCTTTAATCCTTTAGAGATCACTTCTTGAAGAAAGCAATGTAATGTTTTCTTATATGGTAAAAAGCAGGTATTGGTCATTTCACAAAAAGAGGGTCACTAACCCTTACACTATCTGGACACTTGAGAAATGCAGTGACGTAGGGCTTAAATGATTCACTGTAATCAAACTGACAATGTTGTGGATGTAATTGGAAAAACTTGTCTTGAAAGACTGCCCTTGTAAATATCAAATAATTCTAGGTCCATATAATTGAATGCAAAGAATATACAACCATTTATATTATGTGCATTTGTTACTGGGGAACAAGATTTGTCAAACTTAAACTCCACCACTATAGAAATAATGGACCACATTTTAAACCTATGCATCCACGGGAAATCTCTTGTTGTGATACAATGCAATCCATGATCTATAAATAAAAGGATTATCTAGAAATCAAAGTATACACTTCAATCCAGCCGACTTCAGCTCTGCTAACATACACACATACACGGCAAAAGGTAATAGTAGTAGTAAAATAAGTCAAAAATTGCTACAATTTGGCAACCTTAATTTAAGCACATTTTGACTGCCTTTAAACAAGATTTTCTGATGGAACAAGCAAAATCTTGTTTTAAAAAGATACAAGAAATGTCTCCCTTGGAATGAGAAAAAAATGCTGCAGTTCTTGAAATAAGACTAAATGGCTTCGTCCCATTGGCAAATCTGGTTTTAAGGCAGAATGTATTCAAATTAAGATACAAACCACTTGATTTAAGCATTTATTACTTCATATTGTATCACCTTTTGCAATTTATCCTGTTTAAGCTTAGAACCTTTCGTATTCAGTATTTAGGGAAAAGAAAACCAATCATAATTCAGCCAACTTAAGCTCCACCGTGTGTTATGTACCTGTCTGTTTTACAATCCATACAGTGACTTTTAAGTGCCTTGCAAGAAAAAAGTATGTTCGCTGGTAGCATCGTTTGTTATTAGAAGATCTTTTAATCTAGCATGAAACAAATACGGGGTCACCGCTCAGGGGAAATGGTTTGTTCCTTTCTTGTTAGTAATATCCGTTTATGTTTTCATAGTGTTAAAGTATGAACTGTTATAAAGACCCTGGTCCCTCTGGTTTTGGGTGGCCTTCAGGAATGCAGTACTCTCCATGTAAAATGTGTGAAATTTACAGCATCCTGCACAGTTGAGCTTAGGTGGTAGAAATTACAGCAGCTACTGTCATGAACTCAACTGAATTTATATCTGAATCCGTTTGGCTTGAATTTGTATACAGTAATTTTGGTAATGAGAGCGGATGCGGTTATTCCAGCCTGTAATTCCGATGTCAGTACATTTACATTCATAAAACCAGAGCCTCAGATTTAAATGTCGACTGGTTCATAATGTTTTGTGGGGATTTTTGACTTATTTCCCTTGACCACAAAGCCTTCCTTATTGGAATAACTGGGAGTCACAATCAAACACCAGTTAGAAAAATGCATAGAAAGAATTGCTCTTTAATTACATTGGGTTAAAACTACTGCTGAGCTAGAGCATTCGCAAAACAACTCACCCGTATACATATTTGGCTTTGCATTCGGACGTCCATAATTCTGCCTGTCCTTTCCTTTGTCTGCGGCCTCCCATTTGGCCCCAGAGACACTTAGCAAATGCCAGAGCTGTTGCACTTCCTAACTTTCTCTCCAAAATTGGCATGTTCGAAGCCTCGGTCTGGACAATAACAAACAGATCCTTTACGTGCAGTGATTTGAGGCGGAGGTAGACGGACACAGACGAGTTTAGCAATAAAGCGTTGTAATGGATTTACCAGAACGGTGTAAACATATCGTACTGTCCATCTACGCCATATCATCGCCCTTTGTGATTTACCCTCGCTGTCGCCGGGTAGATTACAGCTCCAAGCTGGACAAAGCCTCCCTTGGCCTCATTCTTTGTTGCTAATTACACCCACTTATACTTTTCAGCAGTTCACCCAAAATATAGTCGTCTGTGGTCTGCGTGGCCGTGATCATCCAAAACATGTTGGTGCAGGAGGAATTCCCCCGAAGTTAAGAGGGATCCAGCTAACGATACTATTTATTGATACAAGCTGATTTATCTAGGTCAATGCTTTAGAAAATATAATAAAAATGCCATAGATTCTATTCAATCCAATGTAATTTTGTATAGGCCTTACTCACCACAGCAGGGAAAAAGTCAATTCACCAACAACAGATTAGACAATCATACAATTGGAATGCAATGCAATATAATAAGTAATACAAAGAATATATTTAAGCTGAGGTATCTAACTATTTATCTTCAAAATTAATGAGTGTTTTTGTCCCAGAACAGAAAGAGTTTTGTAAAAGTAAAATGTTCTGAACAGATAAAATTACAACATTATGTCTTTATCCTATTAGAAAAATATATATATATTGCATTCTTATAGAGAGTAGCTGAGAGCTGATTGGCTGAGCAAAAGTGGTTCTCTCTTGGTCACTTTTTGAAAATTCTGAGCTAAAGATGTGATGGAGGAGTTGGAAAATTACTTTGAATTCAGTTTGATCATATCCCAGCTTTTAGACAATAGACTGCGGTTAACATATTGATGTATATGATCTATGTATGATTAGAAACTGATGTATGTGATTTATGTATGATGAGAAATGTACTGAATGTGTTAATGTATCATCTGAATGTGTGGTTGTGACATGTGTATTGTGTAGGTGTGATGCTGTGATGCTGTGAATGAAGTGTGGTTTTAACAAACAGGTATGAGGCTAAATGTGTGCGTCTGTATTAGAGAGAATGTGTTGTATTGCAAAGTTATTTTTTAGGATTGTACATTACTGTATCCATGCATTTTATTGATGTAACCAGGGACTGCAGATGGAAACTAGCTGTTTAGCTATAATCTGGTGCAGAACATATCTGTCTTTGAGCTTAATGTCTCTGTACACTGTCCCTTCAAATAAAGACTAAACTAACTAACTAACTTAGATCGCACCGAAGAGCCACGGCAACCATCCGCAGTGCCATCTTGTGTGTGTGTGTAGTGCAATTGTATATACTAGTAATTTTAAGAAATGTTGAAAGAAATGTCATGTAGATTTTTATTTTTTTGATTATATACACATGCCTTATTCTATCATTACTTGCCAACGCAATTTCCTAGTTTTCTGTTACTCACAATGACATTAAAAAAGATTGTGACTCTGATTGTGGAATGACTTGGGATTGTGTGTTTATCCTCTGCCAGGGCTGCTTGCCGCTGGTTTTAATGTTCGACATAAAGGAAGATATCGATGTGGAGCCTCAGTGTATCACCGCGCTGATGGAACAACTGGACGTTTTTATCAGCATAAAGCCCAAACCCAAACAGCCAAGCAAGGTTTGTCCCCCCCCCCACACACACACACACACACCACACATTAAAACCACTCACACACGCACAACATGCCCCGATGGTAAAGTCATACCTCTTGTCTGAAAACCCGGCGTCCAACCTGCTTAAATTCAACGTCAGGCGAATCACGTAGGAATGAAACACACTACTGTTCCAGACGCACTCTTTACCGTTCCCTACATCCAAGGCTGAAATAAATTACAGATTGTCTTGTCACTTTTCATCACAATTTTTCTTCAAAAGTGTAGCTTAAAACCAAACAGGAAATTAGCCATTCCCACACTGCGCAAACTCTCGGGAAGGTTTTCGGGGCCGCACACACAAGAAACTGGCAAGGTTCACCTGATACACGCACACGCCCTCCGTGAAAAGTACTGCACAGTGGTGTGTTTTAACTCCCTGGTCAAATGCATAAGGATTTCCGAGCACCTGTTGGACACATGTGCACAGAACAACAGTCTATAGAACCCTTGTCTGTGGATAGTACCTATTCTTTAATCAATTATCAATCATTTACTTGTATAGCCCCATTTCACCTTGGAGAGACCCATGAGGAAACGCATTAGACTTATTAGATTTAAGCATGTTTATTGATTGAGCATGTTTGGCGCCCTAGGCCCGGGCGGGATGCTGTTGAGCACGGCGCTTGCTCGCGTGCATGATCCCCCCGGGGCCTAGGCACTGGTGACGGCAGAGGCAGTAGGCAACACGCTTCATGCGAGAAGGAGGAGGTGGGGCGGCGGCGGCTTGCAGACTTCAGAAGATCGGGAAGTGGGCGTCTCCGGCTTTTAACTTGCTGTCCTGGTGGTTATTGGTTGACTGGGTGTGGGCGTTGCTGGTATTGATGAGTCGAGGAAGAGCAGCCTGTGGCCTGGCAGCAACAGCCGGGTCTACCACGGTGAACTTTCGCGAAAGCTCCATTTCACCTTGGAGAGACCCATGAGGAAACGCATTAGACTTATTAGATTTAAGCATGTTTATTGATTGAGCATGTTTGGCGCCCTAGGCCCGGGCGGGATGCTGTTGAGCACGGCGCTTGCTCGCGTGCATGATCCCCAAAAAGCGGGCCTGCGATTGGGATAGCAGGACGTACTGCGCGGGCCTGAGAGCAAGAGCGAGCTGAGAACATGCGCACGCGCGCATGTTCAGCCAGCCGCTGTAGCAGAGGAATCTTTGAGCGAACTGAGAACATGCGCGCACGCGCATGTTCAGCCAGCCGCAGCAGAGGAATCTTTGAGCGAACTGAGAACATGCGCGCACGCGCATGTTCAGCCAGCCGCAGCAGAGGAATCTTTGAGCGAACTGAGAGCATGCGCGCACGCGCATGCTCAGCCAGCCGCAGCAGAGGAATCTTTGAGCGAACTGAGAACATGCGCGCACGCGCATGTTCAGCCAGCCGCAGCAGAGGAATCTTTGAGCGAACTGAGAGCATGCGCGCACGCGCATGCTCAGCCAGCCGCAGCAGAGGAATCTTTGAGCGAACTGAGAACATGCGCGCACGCGCATGTTCAGCCAGCCGCAGCAGAGGAATCTTTGAGCGAACTGAGAATATGAGCGCACGCTCATATTCAGCCAGACGCTGAAGCAAGGAATCTTTGAGCGTTTGAGGAGTGCGTGCCGCCACCAGAATCTTATTGCTTACTTGCTTTGCTGGGAGCTTACGAGGAAGCCGGTAGACGTTGTGCTGCCATGATAGCGGTCGCATCTGGCCTGATGTAGGTGGAGAAGCCGAAGAGGACCAGCGCCCCAGCCGTTGCAGAGGAAGAGTGGGGGAGCCCCAGCGAGGTCGCGCGCGTGGCAGCGCCTATCCTGAAGGAGTGGGCTGTATAGAGCTGGGGAGACAAATTGCAGAGGAGCAGTAGGGATCTTAGCTGAGCTCTGAACCAGGTTGCTGTTATGGGAAGGTTGACTGGAGTGAGAATTAGAGGTCCGTTAAAATCTCCTTTTTGCCGCGGAGGCGAGTGTAACGCATCATGGACCTGTAGGGGCAGAGAGATGTGTCGAAGCGAGCTATTATTGTGTTGCAGGCGCCTCTGATCTTTGAATGTTTGAGATGAAGGTTGAATGGTCAGGGGACATTATGTTGGGTGAGAAGAGCGACCTTTGTTTAATGCTTCCACTACGTCGAGATGATCACGCATGACAGAGATCCTCTTTCTCTGCCACGTGTGATTCCGCAGCGCGCAGGCCACGACCACTGGGAATGTCTCGTGTAGGGCAGAGGAAATGCTCCGGGGAAAGTGGCGGGCCACGGCCGGCGAACCACTGGTCCTGGAAGAATCCCCCAAAAACCCACGGAAGGGGCAGCGTCCGTGTAGAAGCGGAGACCTGTAGGGGCAGAGAGACACACCGGAGAGGGCCATTGATGTTGCAGGCGCCTTTACGCTTAGAATCTTGGGTTGGAGAGTAGATAATTAGGCCAGTAGGATAGGACGGGAAGCCGTGTCTCGGACCGCATTGAAGGTTGAGTGAGCAGTGGTGAAACGCTTATGCAGAGAAGCCACAGAAGGCGAGCAGAAGATGCTGCGAGGAGGGCAGACATGTACTTGGAAGATGAGCCGGAGTTCAGCGCCGCTGCAGGATGGGCAGCATGATGGGGAGCCTGTGATCAGAAGAGTGAAGAACCAGGTATGGATGCCTTTGATTAGGAGTCCGATTGACGGCTCAGCGCAGCTACTTGGCCAGCTGCATCTGATAGAATCAGAAGATTCAGTAGAGAGATGAAGCACGACCGCCGAAGCGACCCTGGGAGCATAGGTGCGAGTCCGGCGCAGCGCGGCATACTCAGCCGGGCTGCATCCATTAGAAGCAGGATAAGCTTCTGAGAGAATGGGTTGCAGTAGCAGTAGCAGCAGCGGCAGCAGCAGTAGCCTCAGATAATAACAGCAAAGTCCTGTATCAAGCCGCGGCAGCAGCAGTAGCAGCGTCCTTAGAAAATAACAGTAATAATTCTGTATCAAAGCCACAGCAGTAGAATATTGTTGTAGCTGTTTAGTGTTTCAGTAAAAGAGATGCGAAGTGAAGAGAGATGTCAAGTACATGAAGCAGCAGCAGCACGGCAGCAGATGCAGTATGAAGCAGCAGCGGCAGCAGTAACGGTAGCAGCATGAAGCAGCAGCAGCAGCAGCGGTTGCAGCATCCGTAGATAATAACAGCAATAATCCTGTATCAAGCCACCGCAGTAGAATATAGTTGAAGCTGTTTAGTGTTTCAGTAAAAGAGAATGCGCAGTGAAGAGAGGTGTCAAAGTAAAGAAGCAGCAGCAGCACGGCAGCAGATGCAGTATGAAGCAGCAGCGGCAGCAATAGCAGCAGTAGCGGCAGCAGAAGCAGCAAGCAGCAGCAGCACAATGCAATTCATACGAACAACAGACGTGTCACGCCAGCGTGCGCCGCTTGTCTCCGTGAGCCAGGTTACGTACGTGTCTGAAGAGCCGAGCCGTAGAGATAGGTGCAGCCTGGGAGCCTGCGGAGCGGCAGCGGCAGGAACAGCAGCAGCGGCACATGTAGTAGTAGGAGCAGCAGGAGCAGGCAGCAGGGACAGGCAGCAGCAGGAATAGGCAGCAGCGGGATCAGGCATCAGTAGGAACGGCAGCAGGGACCGCAGCAGCGGCGGTCAGAGAACCATGCCCACGGTTGTTTAAGAGCCTGAGGAAATAAATCAACCCGAATCCGAAACATTCCCATGCGAGAAACAGATGTCCCCTGGAGCCATCTTGCTGCTTTGGTTATGGCAGATACGCATGAACGATCACTGATCCATGCGTTCATAGCTACAGCTCCACTTCAAACCCATTGCATATTCACATTGGGCCCCTTTTCTTTCTGCTGCACTTTCGAAATGCAACAACTGCAGTTTAGTTACCCAGTTTAATACTAGTGACCTAGCTATTTAAATGCATGGCCCCTCCTTCCTCCTGCAGATAGACGAATTTAAATACATCATTTAACAATAGTGACTTGCGAGTAATGAGATTGATGCTGTAAAGATGGCGCCGTGCAAGAGCTCTGTGTGTGCCGTCTGGAGCACGATGGGGTAGTCTTTGCACATTTTTTCCAACGTGGTTTTACTGCAAGTGGCAGAACATGAATCTGAATTAATGCACATTGCTCCTCTTATATCCCTCAGACATTGGAGATTGATGCCATTTAAGATGCATTGACCCTCAGTTAGCTCAACACGTGTAAAACGGAGCCTGCAGACCAAGCACGGGCGAAGACTGACGCCTGCAGTCAAGTGCGTAGGGCAAAAACCAGCCGCCTGCAGCCTAGACTCCGGGATTAATCCGTCCGCGGTCGGCACACTCACTGTACTCACATGCCAGGAGACTTGGGAAAGCAACGGGACAACGCGGCACCGCCAGTCGGAGGCAGGGACACGCACAGCACCGCCAGACCGTCTGCGCGCGGCAGCAGACCACGAGGAACGAGCAGCACAGAACCGCGGAGGGGCCCCGCGGAGCAGCCCGCAGAAAGAGCCCGCAGAAGAGGAGAGCAGTGGAGACGCGCGAACCACAGCAGGTGCAGGGACACGGAAGAGGAGCAGACCACGAGCAGCCAGACTGAGGACAGCCGGGCCACGCGCACGAGCAACACGTGAGCAGAAGCGACCCCTCCAGAACAACGCATGCATTTGCGAACAGGAGCGTTAGCGACATGCACCTTGCAGACTTCAGAAGATCGGGAAGTGGGCGTCTCCGGCTTTTAACTTGCTGTCCTGGTGGTTATTGGTTGACTGGGTGTGGGCGTTGCTGGTATTGATGAGTCGAGGAAGAGCAGCCTGTGGCCTGGCAGCAACAGCCGGGTCTACCACGGTGAACTTTCGCGAAAGCTCCATTTGTGTACAAGGCAATTCAAAGGGCTTCACCAGAGCAATTTAAAAACACAGATCATGCATCAATGCTTAATATATAAAAAAAACAATGAAATATATTAAAAAAGAACAGCATAAAAGTATGGGGTTTAAAACGCTCTTTAAAATGTAGGATTAAAAAGGGAGATAAAAGCGATAAATAGTACAAAATAGAATCAGTTGTATGCACAGCAAAAAAAAATTCATAATTTTTATTTCAAAACCTGCACAAGACAATTTTTACCGTGACAAAGTAAATATCATACACCTTTGAAGAAAACACATTTAAACTTACGAACCTCTCAAACTCATTCAACTCAGCGCAAAAAGACAAAAGCCACACAGACGAACAGTAAGATAAGACAAAATAAAACTTTCTTGATCTCACAATAAAGAAATGTATTTGTAGTACTTTATTTCTTTTGTGAACATTAGATCTTAAGTCACTTTTTTTTTTTTTAAATGTATACATTTTACATTAAGAAATAAATAAATAAATTGTGTATGTTTCACACATATTTAGGGCTAAGTTACGGAAGATTCACACGTTACGTTTGATCACTCAGATCAGATCAGATGCAAATATACAGCAAATGTGAAAACCGTTAAAAGTAAAAAAGATCATATATGGTATAAGACAGCACACACTCAGATTAGACACAGGCCCCAACACTCTCTGACCCCACACCTCTCTCCCACCACTGCTGAAGCCATCACTCTCTTTCCTCCTCCGTACTTCTCTTTTTTCAACACAATCAGATTTGAGGTTCATAGCCTTAAAACATACAGCCCTCTATGTCAGAAATGACGGCAAGCATCTCTATCATGGAATAAGTTTTGTACATTTGGAGACGTGGAGTTACTGTTACAAGCTGCGGAGATGGCCACGTCCCCCTCTGACAGAGCCAATGCCTGATGCCAGCTTGATGACAGGTCTATGGAGACGGGTGCCAGAGTCCCAGTAAACATTCAGCCCACTTTACAAATTCTTCACTTAAACATTTGAACGAGGTGACAGCATTAATCCCGGAGGCACGAGGTCGTCTTTCTGTTGGCGCCATGTTGGCACAGTCGAAAAGGCGAGGCCAGTATTCCCATCCCGAGAATTTGGAACATGCATGGAATAAATTATGCTGAGAATTATGCAAAGCAGGGCGAAGTAGGATTTGGGTCCAGTTTTTTATAGTTTCTCCTAATGTGGGAAAAACATAAAAATGCAGCAAAATAATGAATGACATATGTTGCATCTGGTTATTATTAGAAGTGGATGTGGTTGTCAGCAGCATCGCATAATATTGAGCTGAGCCATTGTGTATGTTTTAATCTTTTTGTATATACGTTTTTTATATGTTGATTATATTTTTTATTATATATTAAAACCAAATTGCAAAATTGCGCAAATGAGCTTTATAATGAGATAAAGTATACTCCAGTCTTGGCTTGTAGACCAATCCACTTTATTTGTAGAGCGCCTTTCCTACACAAGGCAACACAATATGGAGGACCGTGGCTGCCAAAACAATAAATATATACAGAAATAAATAAATATATAAATACAGAAATACAGAAATAAATGCACATCATCTCATAATTGCATGCACTTCTTTGCAAATTTTATCTTTTTTAAATTTATTTATTTATTTCTGTATATATGTATTGTTTTGGCAGCCACGGTCCTCCATAACACAAAGCGCATTCTGATTATTATGGCCACATAACATTTTACTTTGTTTCTTATGAACCTGTCTTTTTGTAAAGCCTCTTTGAGTGTCTAAAAAAAGCACTATTTAAGTACATTGTCCATCCATCCATCCATTTTCTTCCCCTCAATCCATTTTTGGGTCGGGAGTGTGGCAGTCAAAGTAATTACTATTAAACTCTCAAAATTGGTAGACAGTTCAAATGGACAAATCCAACATACTAACTGTTAATTAATATTGTACAAAAAAATATATATATATATTTACAGCTTTTCAGATTCATGCTGCTAAAATCTGGAACAATCTTCCTGAAGATGTGAGACAGGCCTCCTCTCTGACAATGTTTAAAACCAAGTTAAAAACGGTGCTGTTTAGCTGTGCATACAACTGAGGGATTTTATATTTTTATCTTTCGTTTTAATTTTCTGTGAGTATTTATGATTTTAATGCTATCTTGTTCAGCACTTTGAGTTGCCTTGTGTGTGAATTGTGCTATACAAATAATCTTGCCTTGCCTTACAGTATCCCGTTCACCTGTCTGTTACCCTGGCCACTGGTTGCTCATAATTACAAATTTAGTTTTTGCAAAGAATTTTACAAAATTGTGCACACATTTTGCAAATCTTCTCTCCATATAGCCACACTACATAGACAAGCGATGCAAAGAATTGTGTTAATATTAAGATGAAGAGATCTTTTATTCGTCCCACAGTGGGGAAATGTCAGTGTTGCATCACCAGAACAGAAGGAATGAGAAGCACACAGCACAAGATAAATGAACAATTAAAGCCGCAAGCGGCGTCGAACGGCCCTCGCCGCACCGCGGGACCCCCTGCACCGCGCGCACTCCCCGCACCACGCCGCCCCGCACCAAGCCGCCCTGCACCACGCCGTCCCGCACCACGCCGCCCCGCACCAAGCCGCAAAGCGCCGCTCCACAACGCCCCGCACTACGCCGCACCACACCGTACCACGCAGCACCGCTAAAAGGAGGTGGTCCCGCCGTGTGATGATTTGTGTCCGTAGCCATAGAAGAATGTTAGTCAAATTGTAATGAATATGATAAGTAGAGCTGGTTTGGCTCCCCATGTAAACTTTGATACAGTCTGTAGGGGGCGCTAATGGGCCAATTTCCAATATTTCACTTTAACCTGACCTAAACCCTAGAATTGAACAATGGATTAAAGTTTTGTGCAAATCAGACTTTGTTTGTGCAAACAGGAGCAAAATTAATGTTGTCAAAAAGAGCCAAAAAAACCCTCACATTTTGCCGCTCCGCTGCTCAAACAACGTTTCACGGATCAAAATTCCCTGTAGTCATTTTGAAGGTACATGTGTTGAGATGATGTGGAGCGATTTTGAGGCGAATCGGTGAAACGGCCGAGGCTGGTTTGATGTTTGTGTGAGGTGTACATTTGCAATGAATGGGGAGCGTTTGTCGTCGCCACGGCAACAGGGTAAAAAATAAGCCTTGGACCCTATTGACTTTATGAATCAAGAGGGCAAAACAGATTTTTGTGCAAAATTTCAAACATTTTGAAAAAACTAAATTTGAAAATGCCCATCTAAAATTTTGAAATAGTCTGTAGGGGGCGATATTGTGTCAATTTGAATCATTTGACTTTCAAATGACCTAGACCCTAGAGTTGAACAATGTATTAAAGTTTTGTGCTATACAGAGTTTGTTTGTGCAAACGGGAGCAAATTTTATGTTGTCAAAAACGGCCAAAAAAGGTCACATTTTGCCGCTCCGCTGCTCAAACAATGTTTCACTAATCAAAAATCCCTGAGGTCATTTTGAAGGTACATGTGTTGAGATGATGTGGAGCGATTTTGAGGCGAATCGGTGAAACGGCCGAGGAGGAGTCGCTTTCCAACAAACATGTATGAAAACTTTTGCTGTTCATTTTGCCATTTTGCAGTGAAATTTCTGGGCTTCCTGTTTGTCAGGGGGTGGAGCCATAATAATATTTTTTTTCTTGTCTTGACTATAGGAACATGTGTACCGAATTTCATGGCTCTACGACAAACTTGATCTCTAAAAGTCCCATAGGGGTATTATTTTGGCTGTTGTAGGTGGCGCTGTTCCGGCATTTTTTGAGTCCCATTAAAATAAACACCAAAATATCAAATTTTTCGCCAGGTCTGATTTTTGGGCAAAATTTAACAACTTTTCATGCATGTTCAGGGGGTCAAATTAAGGCTCAAAGTGCAGAATTTGACATCTCTCGAGCAAAAACAATAGGCCCTTTTCCCGTTCGGGGCTCGGGCCTAATAAATCTAAACTAAAATACAATAAGAACTCTAGCATAATAAAGAAGAAGCAAATCTAAACTCTCCAACTTAAGCATAGTAAAGAAGCAAGAATGAAGTATAAATCTTGTAGTGTACATTGCTGTCTTCCCCATTTATTGACGTTATCTTCACATTTCAAATCCGCATGACGAGCATTTATACAAACGGTTGACGAATTGCAGCTAATTTCTCACACGTCTATCGCTGAATCGGACAGATGGTTTGTTACGCAATGGATGCAGACGTCGCTCCCTCGTCTCCCCGTTGCTCCCACAGCCCTCCTGTTTACGTTCCTAATCTGAACTTAATTCCCTCTTCCTTCCTCCCCTCTGGGCTCATCTCTCCCCCTCAGCCTCCTCTCACTCCCTCTGTCCCCGATGCCAACATTCCCATACCCCTAACCCTAGCATCAGGGCATTACCGGGCCCTTTTTTGCCCTGGGTGCTCTATCTAGCTTTTTTTTTAAACCGTGTCTTAATTCTTGCAGTCGGTGATTGTGAAAAGCGTGGAGAGAAACGCCGTGAACATGTACGAAGCCCGGAAGTTTGTCCTGCGGCTGGAGAGCAACGGCGTGTCCTGCTCGCCGCCCCCCATGACCGTGAACCCCGCCCCCAACGGCCCCTCCCCTTCCCTCATCTGCCCTGTTGGCCTGGACATCCTGGCCTCAGCTGGACTGGGGCTCAGCAATCTGGGTAAATATCTGTTTTTAGATTTAAAATTAGGATTGTTTTTGTCTGAGTGAGATTACTGTGGTGTTCAAGAATGATTCATTTTAACCCTGTATGAAGAGTGAAAATGACCAGGACCATGTTAGAATGTTGGTCACGGTGCATTTACGTCATTACCTTTCAATTCACATCCAGTTACCATTATTGTGATGAAATATTGTGAACAAATCAGACCCTCTGAGTCACTATTTGACGCTTTGGGTTGAGAGCTGATTAGCAAAGATTATCTCACTTGCATTGAGTGATAGAACCAAACTGTTTTGAGCGATGATGAGTTAGATAATAATAATAATAACAATAATATTAATAATGCATGGGATTTATATAGCACTTTTTATGGACACTAAAAGACGTTTCACATGTCATTATTCTTTATTGCATACAAAGTGGTGTAAAACAAGCGGGAAAACCAGTATGTACCATCGGAACGGATTCAAGTTCTTCAATCCGTTCTGGTTAGTCTCCAATTATCAAGAAATTGGAGCCGGAGAAAGAGGAATGTTTAGCGAATGTCATTGCTGGAAAAGATGGAGTAGAGCCACAAATGCTAAAGCTAGGCTACATGCTAAATGCTTCACTCACTACATACGTCACGGTAAACTCGGATCCAATTGTTTTAACAAATCCCACTGTTAACGGAGCTCAAAGGAACAAATCCAGACCTTAGTAAGAAATGAAATGAGCACGATGGTTTGGTAAGACCATGCTAGCACCAGGGCAAAACCATTACTTAACAAGTACCAGGTAGCGGCCGCAACCCGGGGAGAGTCGAGTTGAGTGGATCCAGTGGAAACGGCCCTTTAGATAACTCTGCTTTAAGTAAATTGATCCATTTATTGTTTAATTCTATATTGTAACTGAGGTTGGGGTGATATTTCTTGCATAATAATAACAAAGGTAAAATCATTTCCCCACATTTTCTATATAAGTTTAAAATAAAATAAAAACTAGCTGCTTCACAGCAGAATAATGTGTATTTGCTTCGTTTAATAGTATTCGCTGAGGAAGCTATGTATTTTCAGTCAATTTAATTATCCACTTTTTCCTCCATTACCCACTCTTGTCATGGTCTCTTTGATAATCATTTCTTATTTGGACTCACAATTGCAATTATGCAGAATGCAGAAATTCAATTTTCCATGCATTCTAAGCAATCCAAGCACGAATGCTACCACAAGTTTGTTTTATATCTCATAAAAGACAAGATTGTGTCGGAAAACAAACAACTCTAAATGCATGAGCCTCCATGAGGGAACTAATGTGCTCATAAATCATTGTCAGTCACATCTGGGCTGGCTGCACGCTGAGAGTCCTCCCTTTTAGCAAAACATCTACCCTCGGCACTGTATCTCAGTGCCAGGCATTCTCTGAAGTCTTCTGCCACTACATCATAACGACCAGTGCTCTCACATCTGATCCACATTCAGTGCAGCATTAATCAGGGTCAGGTCTGTCCAATGAATGCTGACCGTGGCCTCCAGACTGAGCCGTATGCAAATCCCCAGTGCAGCCAGTGCCCAGCCGACCATCAGAAAGATACCTCCCTTTCGGTTCACATGGATTGTATCATGATTCAGCCAGTGGCCACTAGGGGCAGTGTTCAGTACTGCACAGCCATGGAGTTCGTACTGGAACACAACACTTTTTTGTCCAACTTTTTTTACATATTTTTATAGAAAGAGAACTGTTAGCATAACCCTGAGACACCCGCTTTTATGTAAAACACTCAAGGAATCCGATTCCTCAGTATGACACACGCAATTCATCAAGTGCAGTAGAAATAGCAGATACCGTCAGACAGCCAGCGTGATGTATCATGTGGTCGAAATGGTCAAATCTACTGAGCCAGCTCGCCGCACTGGTGCTTGTGCTGCTTCAGGCTATGGCTATGTCTGCACGCATTTGTATGTTACATACAGTATATTGTGATATCTCTGGAGTAAGTAAGTAAGTAATCTTTATTTATATAGTGCCTTTGACAGACCAAAGAACAGTTCCTTCCCACAAATATGTCCATACATTTTCTTTGAACACATTCTTCTTTGATTCATTTCTGTTAATGATTTCAGTAGTCCAACTGTCTGGCGCCTAAAGGTTAATAGCTGGTTTTGGGAGTGATGTCAGAAAACTTGTTATTTTATTGTGCAATTTCAACCACATTTTACAAGAGCCTATTGAAAACTTTGGTATTATTTAGCACTAAATTCTTTAATATACACATTTTAGTTATTTTTTTGTCTTTGTTGTAAAATGTATTTGATCTTTGGAAACAAGTGACTTAAGTTCTAATGTACATAATGAGCAAAGAAATGAACTACTACTACTTTAAAACATCACTATGAGTAATGTACATTGTATACTGTAAGCATGTTGTGCTTTTCTAATCAACAATACCAAAAGGGCATACAATAATTGCCAATAAACTGAAATGTTGTATTCATTGCAACATTTTTACACTACTATGCTATGCCAATGTATAACAGTATTCCAAGTATTCCGAATACAAGACTCAGGTCACGGAATATGTTTGAAGCAGGTATTTTAATTCAATACATTTTCTAAATATTCTCTCCAAGGATTTTAATAGTAGCACAATTGTAATGAAGCAATTCACAATATTAAGGCATTATACTCCTCAGTGAACCCTTCTCCAGATATTATAGGAATATTTTAACTTATCAGGGATAAAATATATAAATTTCCTCTATTTTGAAATCTGAATTTCTTAATAACTTAAAAGAGATATAGGCTTAATGTAAATGAGAGAAATCATAGAGATGGCCTAAAGTTAATGTAAGAATTAAATATACCCATCTAATTTGCTTTCACTGACAGTCATGCAAATCACTAGGACATGAACACACAAACAGAACTCACATTGTACCACACTCAAGGTTCAGGAAAATAGTAAAAAAGTGCAACATTCATATTATTAGTAATAATCAGTGTATACTCTCTCTCTTCTATGTCCTCTTTCCACAGTAAAATAATGTCAGTGTCTCCTCTTGTGAGCGGTGATGAAGCAGAGATGGAGCCACATCCTGGTCTGCAGTAATTGCTACATGCTTGTCTTGCTCCGATTACAGACAAGTGGGCCAGAAGAATCTTTGGCCTTATTCCTGGAGTAAAACTAGCCCCAGTTTAAAGCCACAAACACGGCTCTCTCTGTTTTCCTACACCGTGTTTGGGGTCTAGCCACCAAAACACCACATTGTTGCTCCTATGTAATATACGTGCTGTGTGTGAGAGGCCGAGAACACACCAGACGTATACTTTTGTGTCTGTGACCTTGTAGCTCTTCAGAAATCTATTCGAGGTTTTCTGCCTGGTTGATGGCAGTTTGATGAAATTCCTTTTAAATACTTGGACGACCAGGATTATTTTTGCCAGCTCAATCAGACGTGTGATTAAACATGAAATATGGGTTTGTGCTTTGACAGGACCACCGTTGGTTTGTCCGTCTCCTGCTGATCTGTCTATACTCGAGTGTCCACTGTATCTATTCATTCTGCCTGTACTCTGATAATTTACATTATATACTGAACTTATGTATCTGAACATTTTAAAGCGTTTTGGGTGAGCTTGGTCTGTAGAATTCACTATAAAAATACTTTACTTACTTTTGATTATTTGTATATAGTCATTGCTCCTCGTGTGTAATACAGTTCTATACGTTAAGTAAGTAAGTTCTATACGTTAGTCTATAAATACTCATTTTATCTGCCTGTGAAAGCCAATTCTCATCAGACCTCTGAAGCTAAGCAGGGCAGGGCATGGTTAGTACTGTGATGGGAGACCTCTGGGAACACCCGGTGCCACAGTGGGGTGGCTGTAAAGTGCCAAACTACTGTTGTGTCCTTAGGCAAGACACTTCACCCACATTGTATAGAAGGAGCCCTGTGTGTGTGTGTGTGTGTGTGTGTCTGTTGTGAATGGTTGGTGATGGTTGGAGGGGCCAATGTCACATACTGGTTGCTTCAGTCAGTGTGCCCCAAGGCAGCTGTGACTCCAGTATTAGTTTATCACCACTGTGTATGAAGTTAATTAATAATGACATGTGAAGTGTCCAAAAAAAGTGCTGTATAAAACTAATGCATTGTTGTTATTACATTTTAGAGGCTACTTATATGTATATTTCACTCGTGCTACTTGTGTGGACTTACTAATGTCTTGTATGTGCGTTGCAACACCAGAATTTCCTGAAAGAAGGTTCTCTTGTCTCGTCCTCAGGTTTTCTGAGTGCATCGGCCTCACACTCTCTCAGCAGCTCTCCTAATGCACTGCTCAACAGTTTGAACAGCTCCATGAGTCCCCTGCAGACCCCCCCCAGCGCCCCTGTGCACGCCGCCTCCATGTGGCCCAGCTCGCTCAGCACCCAAGGTCAGACACACATGTATACACAGAATATATGCAGATGTTTTATATATTTAGATAATTAGGATCAACACGTACTTATCAAATATCGAATTGATTAGTTTTACGGTTTACTATATTAGTTTGATTCAATTCAATTAAATGTATTCTTGTATAGCCCTAAGTCACAACAGTTATTATCTCGAAGGACTTTACAAAAACGTTGAATTCGCCAACACAGACCAGAGAATCAAACAGTTAAAATAGAAAAGAAATAAAACAGAATTGTTATTGGTCTAAAAGTTTTGATCAATGTCCAGATTTTGGTGGTTTCGTGAAGGTTCAGCTGAATCATCAAAAGACAAGAGTGTGCACGCCTTTGTCATCCCAAAAATTTAAAATCATTGTCCCTATACTGCGTTTTTTTAGATGTACTTCTATTTATAATTTGAGCATTATACGTCTGTTTAAATTCTAAATAAAATCCACTTGTACCTGTTTATTATAATGTGTCTCAGGCCGTAGTAACACATATGAACCTCTGTGTCGCAGCCTTCTCATCCCAGCTCATGCTGCACCCGGCAACACAGGCCACTCTCAGCAGTATCCTGTTGTCAGGGGTACAGGGGTACACACAGAACACCCCATCCCCCCCGCCCGGCCTCGCCCCCATCGACAAGCAGTCCAACGGGGTCCCCGACTGCGCTAAGACCTGCTCGCTCAACGGACACGTCAAAGTAAGCACATGCACGGTTATCTCTGACTCCTCCTTCACTTTTCTGACATGTATGCGTTCTGTAGCACCCCTCAGTGTTCACCAGGATCACCACCGCATCACTGGCAGAAACCGTCCTGAGTCCTCCTCCATGTGACCCAGTGCAGGAGGCCAGCGGGCACAACCCTTCTGAGCCACTGTCCAGCAAGTCCAACCCAGATGAAGGTACAGGACACAACACATACACTAGCGTCACTTTTATGTTGACAACTGGAGAACGTAAACATGTGGATTCTTTTTCTCACATCATGTAAATGGTTCATGGATCATGTCACTTTTAGAATCTTGTGATTTATGTATCATATCATATCATAGTCAGGGCGATAATCGACCAATTTATTTCTGGGTTGACTAAAAACATGCTCAGTCGATGGATTGGTCAATTCAAAAGAGAATGTGGCAAGAGCTCTGAAAACTTGACAATTTTAGACATGAAATCACAAAAAGTTTTAAATATGAATTTCTCCTCTCTCTTATTGCCTCACCTCATGGTCAAAACCTTCATCCAAAATCCCAAAGCCGATCTTGGTATCTGACAGGAAACCTTTGAGGTGGCGTCATTGTGACATCATCAACGTTTTACAGTTGAATATATTTTGTTTTGTAAATGATTAACTATTTTGTTCTCTGGTCTGACTGTCAGACATCAAGACTCTCACAGACCTAACACCAGAGCCTCAGTCAGAGAAAAGCTTTACACATGTTAAATCAGTTGTAAATGTGATTCATTGTAAATGAATTAATTTGCATGTGGGCATTTATGTACTAAAAGCCTCCTACTAGAGCATAGCATGGTCTTGCTATAAGACTAAAGGCTGTGCATCTGGTCTGTCATATGTAACTGCTGTGCCCATAACAAATACATCTTAAATAAGTACTTTTATCTTTCTTGAATATTAAAGTAAATGCCTAAATCTACAGCAAAAATTACCACTGAGAAAATTAGCAGTTTAGTCATAGAAATAGTTGTAGATATATATATTTTTGTTATGAGTTGACTAATTACATTACTAAGATAACTAACCTAAACCCAGCTCACGATCCTTATAGGGGTGAGCAAAGTTTGCTGAGTTCTTCTTCACAAGGATATGAAGAGCTGACATTGAAGGATCAAAACGACTAAACAGTGTGACCTTGTAGAAATTGCATATTTTTTCTCTTAATAACTTCCACAGTATTCTTGCATAGCTATGTCTTTGCATATTAAACACTTAGATTCTGTCTTTAGTCTGCAGAAAAGCACCTCCTGCAGTCCTCTTAACCTTATGAGTGTGTTTATTGTGCTGGAAGGGCGACAGATTAACTACTGGTTGGCCCGTGGTTCAGAAAGGCCTTCATTTCCTCTGCGTCGTGTATTCGCTCGCGGTTTTCCCTCCGGACCTGGTCTCTCACGCGTCTCTCTTTTCCGCACTGTTTTTGAGCCGGCCAGATCCCGATGTGGTAAGGTTTCCTCCCCCTCCCGTGTGCACGTCTGTTTGCGTTGGCTCGTCTCAACCCTCTGCAAGCTGTGCAGAGAACCAGTCCAAGTGTGGCACCCCAGGGGGTTTCAGGCCAACTGACATCATTTTATTTTATGCTTAAGTATGTTGACATTTAGCAGTGCGTACATAAGGTGCACTGAATGGTTGAAAACAGTCTGGCAAGAAAGGAAAATTACTAGAAATGTAGGCTTTTTTAAATATATTTTGGTGATGGAGTCATACCCCGGCTGCAGACTAAAAGAGTATTTAATCTAACGTGAGGTGATACAAAGTGTGCAGACAGGAGGACATTTTTGTTATAAGCATTTATCTCACAGACAGGGTGAAGGACAGCCATGCCACACACTTTCAGGAAATGATCTGAGCACGAGCATCATGTGATCGAATGAGGGCAAATGAAAGCAGATAAATAAGGAGGATGTGGGGCATACAGTGCTACATATTTGTGTGTGAAATAAAACATGTTTGTTTTATTTATAAGTATATAGGCTATACTCCTACCTCTTTTTAAAGCTCAGAACAGACCGAACCCAGTCAAAACATTACTATCTGGGTTGTCGGCCCCTGGACTGCTCTGCTGTGTCCCTCTTACTAACAAGTGTGGACTAAATAAGATGTACTGTGCATATACAGTATATAATACGATATTTATCATAACAGAAAGTTGGAAGTGTAAATTTTGCGTTTCAACACAATGCAATTTATTTTTGTATAGCCCTTGAATTAAACAGGATTGAAACACAAGAAATGTAGTGTAGTAATAACAAACATAGGAGCCATTGGTCCAGAGGGAGCGGGAGGATCAATGTCCATAAATGTCCTTAAATGTCCCGGATGATGATCCCGGAACAAGTGAGAAAACTCTGGTTGGCCCATTATGAAAGAGGCCAATATTGAGCTTGAACCAGGACTCAGGCCGTAGAACCAGGACAGGCTGTAGAACCAGGACTCAGGCTGTAGAACCAGGACTCAGGCTGTAGAACCAGGACAGGCTGTAGAACCAGGACTCAGGCTGTAGAACCAGGACTCAGACTGTAGAACCAGGACTCAGACTGTAGAACCAGGACTCAGGCTGTAGAACCAGGACCGATGATGTGCAGTGCAGGGCTGAAGAGGCTGCCAGGCGGGGAAGAACTGTCATATTGCCAATTTGGTTCACATCTAGATCATAGGGAACATATTAGTACTGAGAGCTTGCATTGAGGCAACACATGGCCCCCTTTTAGTCAAACTAATTGATATCTTTACGCAGCCAAGAATTACTTTTGACATACAGCCCGAGTAATTACCGATGTTTTGGGTCTAATTAATCCACCAGCAAAGTGAGACTTATCCCAGTTTCATATGCTTACACACACTTCACTACGCTTCTTGTATTATTATTATTATTAGTGATGTCGGTAACAAGCGGTTTTTAGATTGCATTATAATGACCGAACCTAACCAGACGTGCCTCTGTGTGCAGGCTCGGACACATTTGTGGAAGTGGGCATGCCCAGGAGCCCCTCGCACTCTGCCAACGGGAGTGAGCTGAAGCAGATGTTGGCCTCATGTAAAACGTCGTCAGGGAAAAGGCAGGCGGTGGAACTCCTGCAGGGGACAAAGAACTCGCATTTACAGTATGTTTTATACAACTATCTTCAACCTTGTTTGTGACTCTGGCTTTGCGTCTATTATGCAAGAAGTTGTAAGCAGCGTGTATTTATATCTCTCCTGTTTCCGAGGGCTTCTCTTTGACTTGGCTCAAGGCAGAAAAACAAAATGTGTCTTAACAGCTGCATTTTGTGAAAGAAAATGAATGGAGAGACATAAATTCAAGTGCAACTCTGCTTACTCTCATACCAGGCAATACTTCAAATTTCTCAAGCTGCAAGTCAACAATTTTTGGAGCCAAGTCCAAATCTCAGTTACGAGCATTCATACTTGGAATGCATGTATCTGGACGACAAGATAAAACGTTACAGATGTCAAAGCAATTTATAATCAGATAAATTGAATCCCACATGCTCCGTTATACAAGCTTATCCAGGTCAACTGCAACAGCCTGCTTAAGGATTTTGTTCTTACATACTTTGCTATTTTTAGACTCCTGGGTGAGGCATTGTCTAAAAGAATAGATTCTGGGGACATGCAGGGAATTTTATGTAATGTCATTTAGAAATGTTAAGTTCTCATTATAACTGTAAGTACGCTGCTGCTGCGACAAGGAAGAATGCCTCATTAAGACAGCACCTGTAATAATATTTCTCTCTGCTCTAAAGTTTTCTGCTCTGTAACAATGTGGATAATTGTTCAAGTGACTGAAATAGACTTCATTCATTCATTCATACAAGAGCAGATGAAAACAACTTCATAATTTGTAAAAGAGCTTTGGACTGATGGGACAAAACATGATTATACTAACACAGTATGCTACAGTATATGCTACTATATAATGCCATCAAAGGATAACAGAAGATGTTGATAATTTTTTTCCGTACCTGACAGTTTCAATGGCTGCCACACTGTCTCCCAGCTGTCGAAACTGCCGAAAAATTTTAACTCCTTAATCTCAGACAAATTAAATATGATATTTTTAGGACTATGCAGGTACCTACACATTGAATTCATTTTACTAAGCTCGTAAAATGTTACAGTTACAGAAATATTGTTATTGCTGTAATGGCAAGTGCAATATTGATATAGCAGAGATGTGCATTAAGATATTGTTATTGCTGTAATGGCAAGTGCAATATTGATATAGCAGAGATGTGCATTAAGTGTATGTACTGTATAAATCATGTATTCTTTCATGCTTACACTTTGCCACAGATGTTCTTAGTACAGTGGCTGCAAAACCCAACATGGAGAAAGGGATGAGTGGAGATGAGTGATCCTAAAAACACTGCAGTTCCAGAAACAAAATATATAAATAATTTCATAGATCATTGAAATTGTAGATTCCCTGTATGTTTAAAAGGTAACATTTTCAGAGTAAAAAACACAACTTCAAGAGAGTTCCATTTGAAAAATATAACATGCGAAACAATTTCCTCAAACCTTTCAAAAAGATTTGAGTTCTAACCTATGGGAAAAATATCACTGGAAAGAGGTAAATACTGTGAATATAAATGTATTCAGTTTGCTTTTTTTGCACACAATTCTTACAGTTGAGCCACACATTTTGACAGTTTCAGGTACTGTTAAAAAGAAGAGATGAGAGAATAAATCTTAATCCATTGACAAATCGTCAATAAAAGTAAACTCAAATAAATGTTTTTTTATTGTTTTTTTTTCTAAATCCAAGCGTAATAATAATAATAATAATACATTGGTTTTATAAAGCGCTTTTTTGGACACTCAAAGACGCTTTACGTGTCATTATTCTTTCACTCCATACACGGTGGTGATAAACTACTGCTGTAGCCACAGCTGCCCTGGGGCACACTGACAGAAGCGAGGCAACCAGTGTGTCCGCCCACCACCACCAACCATTCACACACACCCCAGACTCATTCTGGCAATGGTGCCTTGCCTAAGGACACAACGGCAGTTTGTCACTTTACAGCCGCAGCCGCCCCACTGTGGCATCAGGTGTTCCCAGAGGTTAAGTGTCTTGCCAAGGACACAACGACAGCAGACAGTGGGAGTCGATGGTGAAATTCTTGAGGTGGGATTGAACCCATGACCTTCTGGCTCAAAGGCCAATGCTCTACCAACATATTATATAATGGCTGTCTTTTCTAAAACACATATTGCAACCAAAAAAATTGCTATTTCGATTTGATGAATTGTGCATTAATGAGTGGAAGTTACTTTTCAAAATGTGAAAATGTAGAGACGTCTTTCCCCAGTTAGACCCGCCCCTACAGACTCCTGATTGGCTGCAGCGAAGTCATAACCTTGATAGACAGCTGAGGCCTCTCCTTGGTGTTATTATTCTCCTCCAGAAAATCTTACTGCTGATGCTCATTCTGAGGAGAAGGACAATTATAAAATGTGTTTATTATTGAAAATACTACTGACCGGATAATGCTACAAGGTCATATGGACAAAGTCAAAAACATTTGATACACAAACAAATTGAGCTGAATGAATCCTTGTGAGCCTAACATTTCTGCGTGTCTCCTACAGCTCAGATTGCCTTCTGTCAGATGCAGAGTCCAGTTCGTCGGACAGCCCTGTGGCCGATAAGAAAGCTCCGGGGAGTGAGCGCGCTGCGGAGAGGGCCGCGCAGCAAAACGAACGCGACAGGATCCGCCTGGGGCCGCAGACGTCCTTCGCTAACATGCAGGTACAGATCAATCCCACACAAACGCCAAAAGAAATACAGAAATGATAATAAATGTGACGGTGGTATGAACATGGTATGAAAACGTGTATACTTCTTTATTATTATTATTATTATGTTCAAGATCGAGATTTTATATTTGTTTTTTGATGCTTCTGTAACTTGTGATGCAACACTGAAATTTCCCCGCTGTGGGACGAATAAAGAATCTCTTAATCTTAATCTTAATCTTCACATCTGTCTGACTTCTCTGCAGGCGTTTGACTATGAACAGAAAAAGCTGTTGGCAACGAAAGGTGAGTTAACATGTGTTGCTGCTAAGAGTTACACAACCATTTTTATTTTCTTTTTTTATGGCAGCGGAGGAGTGTGAGAGCACGTTTAATAGTATCCCAATATAAATGCTCTGCTATGGATATGTTATGGCTTTGGCAGTGTTGGAATTCATACTGTTCAGGTTCCTAATGTTAAACAAATGGAGATTTTTATTTTTGATTCATTCATGTTTGAGTATTTCTGAAAATGCTGTTGTGATCCCTGTTCACACAATTTTACTCATATTCTTTGTTATTATTATTGTATTGTTTTTTAATCATTTTGGCTTAATGATAGAGTATTGGAGGCATAATGGTAAAAAAAAAAATCCTTACAAATAAAAAGTATTTATTCCAAATACATGAATAATTGATTATAAAAAATATCACAGACAAAAATGCAAAACAAAATGATCAGTCCTGTTATTCCACTTTAAACTTTATGTTGTTATTTTGTCTAATTATGAAGTTCTTTGGACATTCTGGCCTCGTCTTGTTCCTGGCGCTCTGATTGGTCTTCACACCGACAGCTTTCATTTGGACACAGGACTGACTCAGTTCAATATGTTTTTCAACCACATTATGAGTGGAACGCTTCAAAACATACGTAAATAGTATTGATGTAAAAAAACTATGTTCAAAAATACCAACTAGAGGAAACAAGGACAAGGTAGACATCAGTTCCCTGCGTTGGATTGGTATATTCTTCATATTGAGTGTCGGGATACTATATTTCAAGCTTGATTTAGATTCCAGAAAAAATGCTTAATACCAATTTTGATACCACTTAATGTTTTTGGCTGATACGCTGTAATGAATAACTCAAAATAATAATACTTTTTTTTATGTGGACACAAGGTATAAAAATTTATCAAAAAATGCTCAAGAAATGTCCAGTTTTGTCTATGTACGTATAGTATCTATCCATCTAGAACTAGTATCTGCCCATTCCCTACATGGCTCTAAAGTACTTTTTTATTACACTTCTCCCAATAGCCTCATAATGTATATTGCCTCTCCCCAATGTGCCTTATAATAGTGCAGGTCGTATTGCACTAAAATGACTATTGCATTTCCACAACAGGCCTCAATCCCACTTATTATTATACTGTAAGTTAAAGTGTGGTTTTATTGTTCTTGTATTCTTTTATGTTTTAAAGGTGTAAAGGCCGAAAAGAAGTTCTAATTCTAAGTTAATAATTGTGTTTTGGTAGGCACCTATGCTTTATTTTGTGTGTGTTTGGGTGGGGCCAGGTAAGGTGCAGTTCCTTTTAATGACAGTAGGGGGAACCAGTGAGTGTAATGCGGAAGCTGAGCAGGGTTTAGGCCCAACAGTTTTTTGACTGTGCTATTTTAGTGGAAAACTGCATTTGATGTGGAATTGAAACTGGTCGCTTGGAACCATGAAATCTGTGCCTCCATTAAAACCACATTTCTCCGTTATTCCGTAAGTCTGGACATTCAATCTGTTTATTTTTTTCAAGAGCACACTAAAGATTTAAAGCTATAGCCCAGGCTGCTTACAGTGGCAAGACACTCTCAACAATTCGGGCGTTCTGCTCTCCCAAAATTCCATCCACTGAGCGGCGCTGTGATCAAAAAATGACACCGTTTGTTGCCCAGTTCACTTCCGGTTGATTTCATACAATGGCGAATATGGCTCACGAAAACAACAAACGATTGACAGTGCCTGAATTGCGTGAAAGGTTGAAGCGAAAGGGTATTTGCAGTGTGGGAAAACGAAAGGAGGAATTGTTGTTGCTAGTTCAACGAGCGAATGGTGTTCATGAAGATTTAGAAGAAGATGACAGCGAGCAGAGTGAACGAAAACGGCTGTGTGTGCGAGTGACAGATGGTAACAATGAGAATGAAGTTCAGCTAAGAGGGAAGAATGTGAATTGGACGGATGATTTGCGCGATATGCCACTAGTTAGAGACGGGAATGTATTTGCATACAGAAAATGACGAAAACACTCAACCATTTAGAGAAAATGCGCCGGGCAGAGAGAACCGGAAGTTGCGAAGGCAAGTGTTACCCATAATGCAACGCAAAATTCAGTCGCTCCCCCGCCCATCGGATGGAATTTTGGGAGAGCAGAACGCCCGAATTGCCACAACAAAAGGAAGACTTTGGATTCTATTTTATTTACATTGGGGCATTATGGGCATGAGCTCACATTGATCAGCAAAATGACTTTAGGACAATATTCAAATTACACCTGTATAATCCATCTCCAACTCTTTGATAGATGTTTGTGATGTTTTAGCAGTAGTAGAAGTATCCTCACTGCTGTACTTGTGTGAATTGTGCAGCCATGTTGAAGAAGCCCGTAGTGACCGAGGTGCGGACCCCGACCAACACTTGGAGTGGACTGGGTTTCTCTAAGTCGATGCCAGCAGAGACCATCAAGGAACTGAGGAGGGCCAACCATGTGTCGTACAAGCCCAGCATGAGCACCACATACGAGGTACAACTCTTGGATTCTAGTTCTGTATAATATCGATATTAGTTCTGAACCATATTGCTTAGAAAAACTGATGGATTCTATAAAACAATGAAGGTAAAAGTGATATTTTAAAATCTAGAGGTTCAGGCTTTACCCAGACAATAACATAGACATAGGGAAGCTTTAATTTGGGTATTTTTTTTTCCTTTTATTTCGATTTATTGTATTTTATTGTAATTTCTTTATTCTTTGCTTTCATTTATTTTTTTATTTTTTTTATTTTTTTATTCATTGATTCATTTTTTTAAATTTATTTTTTCTCCATATGGCTGTAGATTCGTAAAAAAATCTGTGTAACCCAGGCCCTATTTATTTATTTATTCTTAGGATTTTTATTATTAGTAGTAGTAGCAGTATAGTATGGGCAGCACGGTGGTGGAGTAGATAGCCCTCTCGCTTCTCAGTAAGAAGGTCCTGGGTTCGAATCCCGGTAGGAAGAGGGCCTTTCTGAGTGGAGTTTGCATGTTCTCCCCGTGTCTGCATAGGTTTCCTCCGGGTGCTCCGGTTTCCCCTACCACTAAAAACATGCACAATAGGTCTGAATGTAAATGAGTGAGTGAATGGATGGTGTTGGTTGTGGGCTGATGCACCAGTGTGTTCGGCGACTTCCGTCATCACCGTGTGTGGAATGATCGGAACAATATCTGAACTCTGAACATTGTCAAGCGCTTTGGGTGACCTTGGTCTGTAAAATGCGCTATATAAAAAAACATTACTTACTATTTACGTTTCTTCTCTGGCACAATGAGTGAAGAGAAAAAAAAAAGTGTGTCTAATACGGTGCTTTGAAATCTGCTTTAATCATGTCGAGATTTACTGTATAAAAAAATAACTGTTTGTTTCTACTGTACTTAAAACGAAACACTGAGACACTGAACTGGCCGTGTTTCCAGGACTCGCCGCTGTCCCTGTCGCGCTCCAACAGTCGCGAAGGCATCGGAAATGGCAGCGACTCAGATAACTGGAGAGAGAGGAACGGCACGGCTAATGGGATGGGTCACAACGAGTTCTCCAGTGCCATGAGCAGCCCCAAGAGGAAGCAGAACAAATCTGGTCAGTTTTTTACGCTCCACTGACGAATAAATGCCGGAGAAAGTAGTCCCTACGCTCTCCTCCCGGTCTGGGGTCGTCAGGAGAGGACTTCTTTTGTATCTGATGGTTTCACTGATCGACCAACCCCAAGAGAAAAAACATTGCGATTTGAGCTGAAGGACCTGACCTTGAAACAAAATATGTATTGATATTTATGTAACTATTCCCCACACTGCACAAAGTAATGAAAATTGCCAACGTTTGTCTTAATATAAGTACATTTTGACTGCTTTAAAACATGATATGCACAATTATCTTGATTTAAAAAGATACAAGAAATGTCTCCCTTGGAATGAGAAATAAAAATGCAATAGTCCCATTGGTGAATCTTGTTTTAAGCCAGTCAGAATGTTCTTAACACTTTAACATTTGATCGTTTATTACCTCATATTTTATCACTTTTTGCAGTGCAGCTCTCAAAACAGTTTACAGGTAATTTTGGCTTTTGTAACATCTTTGAATCAGATTTTTCAAATACACAGAGAGCCAGCCTTCACTCAGCCTCAATCTGCTCTGATATGAAATGTAACAGCATGGGTGGGTCTGGTTTTCTTCAACTGGACCAGCTCTGGTTCACTTTGGGCAAAAACATCTTTACTGTGGATGTAAACCACCAGACAAGGACTACACTGCAAAAATAATTAAATGTGAGGTAATATTTGCTAGAGTCGCATTGTTTTTATCTGCATTTCAGCACATCCTGACTGTCTTCAGTGGGACAAAGCCATTTAGTCTAATATCAAGAACTGATTCCAAGGGAGACATTTATCGTATCTTTTTAATACAAGAAGATTTGCTTGTCCATTTAGTAAATCGTTTTTTAAAGGCAGCAAAAAATGTTTTTGACAGATTGAAGAATACATTTATCCTGCTGATTTTGTTTTAATGAACAAAAGTATTCATTTTAAATGAGGCTACCATGACACTTTTACAATTTAGTCATTAATGTCTTCAACGTTCCCTTCAACAGAGCATTACCTGAGCAGCAGTAACTACATGGACTGCATCTCCTCCGTAACCGGTAGCAACGGCTGCAGCCTCAACTGCTCCACGAAAGGCTCCGATCTGCCCGAGCTCTTCAGCAAGTTAGGATTAGGCAAATACACAGACGTCTTCCAGCAACAAGAGGTACCTTCTCCTCCACTCAAAATGCTCTTCACATTTGGATTGTTTTCTTTATGTATTAAATGTACACAGCAAAGGAGTTATAGTTATAGTTCATTCTACTCAATATTGTGCCAGACGTCATTAGACTACAGCGGAGTGGTGGGTATTTATCACTGCTGAATCTGTCACTGTGTGTCTGCAGATTTTTACACTCACTTTTGACTCTTTATGCTGATATAGCAACTTTACTCTCCATATTGTTGGAAATACTCTTATCGAAGTTAAAGGTGCAGTGAGCGATTTTGTTAGCTTAGCCGTAGCACCAACTCGAAACCACTCCCCCCCTTGCCTCTCCACCCAACATCCATCATTTTCTTTTCTTTATCACAGCAGGGAGAGTGGGTGGCACACGTGAAATTGGCCTTTTCTGTTCAGTCATTTTAGGTTTTAGAAAATCCGATAACTCAGGTGCACTCGCGAGAAACAGGAAGAGGGTGAAGGGGGTAAACGCTTCCCATTGGTTTATTTTTAAATAAATAATTTTTTAAACAAAATATTTTGTATTAATTTTTGGAGACTACTGGCATCTGGTCAGTTCCATTACTATCTGAAAACACATGATAACTTGACTACTTTTAGGGTTTAGGGACGTTTTCCCACAATATTTAAAATAAAATGCGTCTGGAAAAAATCACTGACTGCCTCTTTACTCTGGGCGGCACGGTGGCTGAGTGGATAGCACTCTCGCTTCTCCTGGGATCGAGGCCTTTCTGAGTAGAGTTTGCATGTTCTCCCCGTGTCTGTGTACGTTTCCTCCAGGTGCTACGGTTTCCCCTACCACTAAAAACATGTACAATAGGTATGAATGTAATTAGTGAGTGAATGGATGGTGTTTGTTGGAGTCTCGCTTCCGTCATCACCGAATGTGCAGAGAATTAAATGATATCTGAACTCTGAGCATTGTAAAGCGCTTTTGGTTGTCTTGCTTTGTAAAAATGTGCTATATACAGTATATAAATAAATTAGGATTAAGATTAACACCCCTTTTTTTTACTCTGTGTATTTCTTTTTAGATTGATCTTCAGACATTTTTGACACTTACTGACCAGGACCTGAAGGAGCTGGGCATCACAACTTTTGGAGCACGAAGGAAAATGCTGCTTGCCATTTCAGGTCAGTCATAAAAGAAGAAGTATTGCACTGAGTGAAACAGCCTCTCAAGGCCAACAAAAGTATTGTCTTCTTCCTGATACAACGCTATCCGAAGCCAAATGCCAGGTTTCATTTGTTCTTTATCCCTCTATATTAAAAGCAAATTGAGTTTAAATAGGTGTCTTGGGGTTCCTCCTACTGATCCAGCTGGTTTTCTAATCGTGATAGATCGTCCAGTCTCTGTTCGCGTCACACCTCATTACTGAAGTCATACTTAACAGCGTTTAGGTGCATTCGAGTGGGATTACGTGTTTCATGATTCCAGATATTTATTGATACAGTGAAACCAAGCCAAGGTTAATGCAACGAGGAAATGTCGTATTTGTAGAGTGATTAGGACCAAAGGGAATACGCTGACGGACACATGGTTTGCTAGCTACATTTGGACTTTGGAGTAGAGTGAGTGGGTGGTGGACTGGAAAAGTACTGCACATTTTTATATAAGGTTAAAGGAAACTCAACTAACATTAAACTCAGCTTTTGACCATGATTTAGTCCCTTGGAATTTTCACATTCACAGATGATTTTAGTGTTATTTAAGTGGTTTCGTCCTCAACACAAGACGCCTTTGCCTTTGTCTGTCCCCCGGGTTTTTGCATACCTGAAGATTGGAAGATTCACGCGCCTGTGGTCATAAAAAAAATATCCTTCCATAGAAAGTTTGCAGTAAAGCGGGACATTTAGGGGCAGCCGGGAAAGACATTCTGTGTATGTGCATTCTGAATACGGAAGTGCAGGACTGCGGGGGGCACATGTTCTTATTGATAGGCCAAAGCAGAGTACCCAGAGGAAACCAATGCAGACACGAGGAGTATCTGCAATCTCCGCTCAGGAAGGCCATATGCTGATCCGGACTCGAGCCCAGGACCTTCTTGCTTCTTTCAACGATTCAAGATGTGTGCTCAATGCCAATACAGCCACACAACTTAATATGCGTATATTGTCTTTACTTCAACCACGATGAGATTTAACACACTGAAAGTATAGAGGAACATATTTTATCTTTGAGGTACAGTGATCTACTTTTCCCTGCTTTGCATAATTCTCTGCATTATTTATTCCGTGCATGTTCTAAATTCTCGAATTGGAATACTGGCCTCGCCTTTTCGACTGTGTCAACGTGGCGCCAACAGAAAGACAAGACGGGATTAATGCTGTCACCTCATTAAAATGTTTAAGTGAAGAATTTGTAAAGTGGGCTGAATGTTTACTGGGACTCTGGCACCCGTCTCCATAGACCTGTCATTAAGCTGGCATCAGGCATTGGCCCCGTCAGAGGGGGACGTGGCCATCTCTGCAGCTTGTAACAATGTCTGTGAGCAACCTTACTGGAAAAGGTGGATGAGGACGCAGGATGTTTTTAAAGGAATGAAATCACGCCACTAGGTAGAGATCTACACTCTACAATATGATCTTCTTTGAATATGCAAAAATTAAGAAATAAACAGAGATTTTCTGAGTGGAGTTTGCACGTTCTCCCTGTGTCTGGGTAGATTTCCCCTACTACTAAAATCATGTACGAGTATTCATGTAGTTAAAATCCTCCAGCTCTGGTCCTGACCAGAAAACAACAGACATTTTCAGAATAATGGAATCTCGAATTTAGAAGAATAAAATATATGGATAGATACTTTATTGATCCCTGTAGGATAAATTCAGATTTCCAGTAGCAGCAAAAATAGAAATACAATTGATCATTCTAAAAAGCTAACAATAGAAATAATCAGCAACAGCCCTTTAGGTCAAAGCAGCAGAAATGGAGTAGCCGTTGGGTGGAGCAGGACAGGTCACAGCCGCAGAGATGGAGTAGCCGTTGGGTGGAGCAGGACAGGTCACAGCCGCGGAGGTGGAGTAGCCTCTGGGTGGAGCAGGACAGGTCACAAGGTGGAGTAGCCGCTTGGTTCGGACCATTTTCTGTGTTCTACTCCAAAATAAAATGCTACATGCTTCATTAGAATGAAAAACTCCAATATGTGTTTTAAAATTACCTGAGCTACAATTAAAATGCATGTTTGTCTCACAGAACTGAACAAAAACCGGAGGAAGCTGTTCGAGCCGCCCATCAGGTCCTCGTTCCTCGAGGGAGGGGCGAGCGGGCGCCTGTCCCGTCAGTTCCACGACATGGCCAGTGTCAGTGGGCGATGGTAGACTGCCCAATAGGAAGGCCAGGATCCACAGTGCCTCTGCCATCCACGCCCACCAGCAGTTTACCCAAAGTGCTCTTAGAATTGTTGTTACCAAATTGTAGTATTGTAAAACAAGCCATAGCTTTATCTGAAGTGCCAACACTAAAGGGATTTCTCAGAAGTTTCTTTGTGATTTTTTTTTTTTTTCCGTTGTTAGTCTGAAGAGATGTGTCCAGTATTTTGATAGGAGAAACAGGCAGGTCTGTTAGTACAATCCTTTTAACACTGATAACCCCCGTATCAGTGGCAGCATGCACTTTATCTATACTAGACATTTGCCTGTGAACGCCCTATGCCTTACATCAGGGGTCTCCAACCTATAGCTCCAGGAATACCAGTAGCTCGCAACCTGCTTCAAAGTTGCTCCCCAAAGGATATTTGTATGGGTAAATATAAAAATGAGTATGATGTTTTATTGGTATGACACTACACAACAACAAAATTCAGAAAAAGGTTAGAAATTGCCCAAAATTGGCTTTGTTGATTAGAGAACATTTTGACGGTCTTAAAACAAGAAGAAAAGCGTAGTACTTTTGCTTTATCTGTGCTGGAAATAAGACTAAAACTGGTTGGTCCATTGTTTAAAGAATTTCAAAATGTTTTCATATCAAGATAGAAACAACTTCATTCATTAGTAGCACACATTTTTTGCGACTGTTTTAAAGGAGAAGTTCTCTGTCAGTGTTGTCCCCAAAAATTATCTCTCCAAGGGAAAAGGTTGGAGACCCCTGCCGTAGATTGAAGAATGAGAAACCATTTTTATATGAAATGGAAAAGCACAGATGCATTTTGTACTAAGCCAAATATAAGCACTTAGCTAATAACATGTATGCACCACCAAATGAAGTGCCAAAACAACATGTTAATTCATGTTAATTCAACTTGTGCCAAACCAATGCCAGATTGTGGCTGTCGACAAAAACAATCAAATATCTTGTACTCGTTATACACTATGATTTTGTTTTGATTTTTTATTACCGTCTTAAAGTGTTGGCATACTTAATGATAATCAGTTTACATTTGTATTATATGAATGAGTTTGTAATTAGTGCCTTTACCTTATTGTCTGTGGAGCCTTATAGTGAGGCGGTGTCAACAGACAAGAGCAGAGCCCACTGTCTCTTCAGTGTTCATACTACCTTATGTCTCATCTTTTGTAGTTTTGGTTTGTACAAAATATTATTTTATCTGTGTCCTGCCTGGACTATGACCTCAGAAAAGCAGCCCTGTTACATTATCAAGTGCAAATGTGTTTTGTTTGTTTGTTTTGTTCTCGCCAAGGAGACTTTAGTATGAGCATCCAACCATCAATGAGCCATTTGATTGTATTATGTGCTAACTCCAGTCCAGACCACAGCATCTATAGCATATGATCACACTTTAATACCACTGCAACTGCCTTCACTGACAATGTTACTCTGAATGCTGAGAATCTGCAGTGTATGAGATATTCTACAATTCTAGCCAAAACCTGATCGTATTTTGAGTTTGTACAAGTGCAATGGGGAGTTTCTCGTTGTTTTGTTTGACCTTTTATTCTTTTTGACCAAATGTGCTTATTTTTTGCAGTACAATAGGATAAATAATGAACATAATGAAGGAACTGACTTTCTTGGTTTAACCCTGAGCTTTGACCACATCATCTCTGCCCTAATCACTTCCCAGTAACCACTGCACCCTCCTTGTGTGTGATGTGAGCCATATTGTGGTAAAGTCCAGTATCTCTCAGACATGGTGGCTTGGCCCACCTGACTGCAGCACCAGAGGATTGTTCTACAAACTAGAGCACTGGCAGTGCTGTGACTCGTGTTCCTGCCTGTCAGACATTTGTTTTCAGTTCAATTGCTCTGAGGGCAGAAGATTCATTCAAGTGTATGTTCTTTCAGCTATATCTAGATTCATGTTAATATTCATCTATAGATTAATCAATCAAGGGACTCATTAAGTCATTTGTTTACTGTCGCATGTCCGATTCTTTTAGAATTATGTTTTTTGATTTGATTACTCATGCTATTATCTTAAGCGAGTTATTCTAAGTGGTCTTTGTACATTAAAGGGACTCCAAGACAAATGTAAACCACTACCATACGTAACTTTGGTCCAGTCCTGAGACCTGCAGTGTATTGTGTGGAGGGACAATTTTATACATCAGAGAAGTTGTGTAAACCAAAGCTCTGTTCACTGTGGCATCTGTTGATGCTCTTGTTACTGACTGTAATTGAATTGCAGAAAAATAAGGTTGTCAAGAAGACAAAAATAATTGTTGTTCCAGCACTCCAATGCTAATTTGAAGGGAATAAATATATGAAAATATACAGTATGTCTGAAGTCTATGCTTTTGAAATACATCACACATTATTCAAGCCATACACATGTGAATACATCCAAACAAATGTGTGCCTTTAAAAAGAATCCATACCCCATGTATATTAAAGCAATCGATCATTCTTTATGTATAATGTGTTTTTCATGCACAGATGCAACACAAAATGCTTTAGAGATTATTGAAAACATTGTAATGGTAATGATCAAAAAGAGCATTTACCTTGTTATTATTCTTGTATAGCTCTTAATCATAATTAATAGTTACTTAATGTAACTTAAGTTCTACGAATAGGTGCGTAGTCCGTTAGGACTTCGCTAGTGAGATATCACTCGTGACCCCCAGGTCACACGCCAGAGAGATCAAAATAATTTGCTCCAATCACCAGCCACCTTCCTCTATAAATGCCCCTGCACAAGGCCGCACCCCCTCTTGAACTCTGCCAAGCCGGGCTGGCCTGATGGGCTCGTAGCTAAGGGACTACGCACCTATTCGTAGAACTTAAGTTACATTAAGTAACTATTAATTCTACGTCATGGTGCTACGTCCCTTAGGACTTCGCTAGTGGGACACAACGCGGAGGCCGTAGGAAAATGTACTCCCAGCAGGCCAGCGAAGGGTGATTGGAGCTCCGCCCGAGCAAGACCCTCACAACGTGAGAGGACTCAGGGCAGAAGAAACAAGCGTGTTACGGGGCCACTCCTACCAAGGATACCCCCACGTAACACAAGCCGTAGGTCATCCGTAGTCACAGGACGCCTCTCCCAAGAGCTCCTGACGTGGACTACCAGACCGACCAAACACACAAAAATGTACCGCACCTGTAGGATGCCTCTCCCAAGAGCTCCTGCACCAGGGCGGAAATAAACCGAACGCCCCCTCAGGGGAGGGACCCAACGGTCTAACTCAGTCCGCTGCACTCAGCACGGAATGGGCCACCGACCGGTCCGACACATCCGAAAGATAAGACCGGACGAAAGAGGAAGACGACGCCCAAGAAGCCGCACGGCAGACGTCCTCGACCGACGCCCCCCTGAGAAGGGCCGTAGAGGCCGCCATCCCACGCGTGGAATGCGACCTGAAACCCACCGGGGGGGCCAGACCCTGCGATTGATACGCCCGCCGCACAGCCGTGGCGACCCAATGCGCCAGCCGCTGAGCCGACAGCTGGGCGCCCCTGTTCTTGGGGCCCAGACACACAAACAGCTGACCACCCAACCTGAATGACGACGTCATGGCCAGGTAATGCCTCAGCATTCTGACAGGACACAGAAGGTGCTGCCGCTCCTCCTCGGGGGAGGCATGCGGCGGCGGATGGAAAGCCCTAATCCTGATGACTCTCGACCTAAAGGCCGACGTGATGACCTTGGGGAGAAAAGCCGGATTGGGCCACAATTCCACCATGCCGTCGTCCTCTCCAAAGACAGGCAAGACGCATGGACGGAGAGCGCACACAAATCGCCCGCCCTCCTAGCAGACGCCAACGCCAGCAAGAGGGCCGTCTTAAAGGCGATACACTCGGGACTCGCCTCCGCCGCCGGTTCAAAAGGCGGACCCGACAGCCCCCTAAGGACCACCCTGAGGTCCCAAATCGGAGGCGTTCTCTGGAGCGGGGGCCTCCTCCTGCGCGCCCCCCGCAGAAAACGTTTAACCAACGGATGAGAACGGGCTGTGAACCCCCCGAATCCGTCGTGACCCGAAGTAATGGCTGCCGCGAACACCGCCAAGGTAGCGACAGCCCTCCCCTTGTCGAAGAGCTCCTGTAGGAATCCCAGGACCCCCTCCAGCGGGCAACACCTGGGATCCCAGGAACGGGAATCGCACCAGACACTGAATAGCCTCCACCTCGTGGCGTAGGCCCTCACAGTGGACGGCGCCCTCGCTCCCTGAATGGTCTCCACCACCGCAGGGGGAAGACCCAGGTCTACGAGGCTCCGCCTCTCAGCCTCCAAACCCGGAGCCTGCGGCCGATTATCGGGCGTGAAAACAGGGCTCCTCCCCCCTGGACTAGAGCCCCCGGCTCGTCCGGGAGGGCCCAGGGCTCCATCACCGCCATGCCCCTCCGGAAGGGAAACCACCGGGCATGCGGACTGTCCGGAGCCACCAGGATCACCGACCTCCTCTCCTGTTCGATACTCCGCAGCAGGACCGGCAGGAGACGCACCGGTGGGAAAGCGTACAGCAGGCCGCCTGGCCATGGGTAATGAGCCAGAGCGTCCACGCCTAAGGGCGGCTCGTCCGCGGCCCTTAAGGCGAACCAGGACGGGCACTGTGCGTTCTCTGCACTGGCAAAAAGGTCGACCACTGGACGACCGAACCTCCGCCAGATCTCCGCAGCTACCCGCGGGGCCAGGCCCCACTCGTCCTGGAGCGGGACCCCCCTGGACATCCTGTCGGCCCCCACGTTCCGGACCCCCGGGACGTGGCGCGCCCTGAGAGACAGGAGGTTAAGCGCCGCCCACAGCAGCGTCACTGTCGCCATGCGATGGAGAGCGGGGGACCTGGTGCCCCCCTGCCTGTTCAGATAGGAGACCACTGTGGTGTTGTCTGAGCGCACCATCACGTGTCTCCCCTGCAGCTGAGGAGCAAAGTGCAGCAGTACCCTGTGCACTGCCTCCATCTCCAGCAGGTTGATGTGA